TTTGGTGAACACTCATGAATCTCTATGTATACAAAGTCATCCATATAATTTTACCTACTTGAAAGATCATACATGACAAATTTATTATGGACACCTTTCTTTCATTCTCTTTCAAGAAAAAGGAATAACAAAAAATTGAAATGGTTCTTTATCCAAAGCAGTAGAATACATATTCTTTTCAAGAGTACATGGAATATTCTCCAGGATAGATCACAGGCTGGGCCACAAAAGAATTCTCAATATATTTAAGAAGGCTGAAATCAAATCAAGCATCTTCTCTGACCACAACAGTAAGGAGACTAGAAATCAACTACAAGGAGAAAAAAAAAAAAAAAAAAAAAAAACCCACAAACATGTGGAGGCTAAACAATATGCAACTAAACAACAAATGGAAGACTGAAGAAGTCAAAGAGGAAATTAAAAAGAAAAACAACTGCAAACAAATGAAAATGGGAACACAATGACCCAAAATCTGTGGGATACAGCAGAAACAGTTCTAAAAGGAAGTTTATAGCCATACATGCCTAACCTGGGAAACAAGAACAATGTCAATTCAATTACCTAACTTTACACACAAAAAAGTAGAAAAAGGAGAAATAACAAAACCAAAGTTAGTATTGGCCAATACGANCCAACTCTCACATCCATACATGACCACTGGAAAAACCATAGCCTTGACTAGACGGACCTTTGTTGGCAAAGTAATGTCTCTGCTTTTTAATATGCTATGTAGGTTGGTCATAACTTTCCTTCCAAGGAGTAAGTGTCTTTTAATTTCATGGCTGCAGTCACCATCTGCAGTGATTTTGGAGCCCCCCAAAAAAAGTCTGACACTGAGAGATTACAATAAACAAATACAGGCTTCCCAAGTGATTCCATGGTAAAGAATCCAGCTGCCAATGCAGGAAACACAGGTTTGAACTCTGGGTCAGGAAGATTCCCTGGAGAAGGAAATGGCAACCCACTTCAGTATTCTTGTCTGGGAAATTCCGTGAACAGAGGAGCCTGGTGGACTATAACCCACGGGGGCGTTGTACAGAGTCACACATGACTTAACTAAACAACAACAAACAAATATACACAAATAAAATGGACAGTCTAGAAGAACTAAATTTTTAGAAACATACACTCTCCCAAGACTGAATCATTAAGAAATGAAAAATATGAACAGACCAATTACCAGTAATGAAATTAAGTGAGCAATTAAAAAAAACAAAACCTCCCAACAAACAAAAGTCCAGGAGCAGATGGCTTCACATGTGAATTCTACTAAACACTGAAAGAAGACAGAACACTTATCCTTCTTAAAGTATTCCCAAGAGTTGAGGAGAAACACTTCCGAAGTTATTCTCTGAGACTAGCATTACCCTGATGCCAAAACCAAAGACACTGCAAAAATTAAAATGACATTTGTATAGGTAAGAAAATAGAATAAACCATAAAAAGTAGTTTCAAGTAATAAAACTTTTCCTACCAGTTGGTTCCTCTCAATCTACTGAAATGAACATTTTTGAAATAAACAATTTTTAAAAACCCTCTGCTTTTAAATTATTTTGGTGACTTCCATTTTAAACAGCAGATTTACATCTGTATTTCTGACTTTTGATGAATTAGAGAGGACTATCCTAAAAGCAAAACTTTAATATACTTATAAATAAAAAGTAAAACAAAAAGTAAAACTTCAGTATACTTATACTCGACTCATCTTTCTCCCTCTTCAACACCTAACTTTAGTTTCATTATTTTTACATTAAGATTCCCAGCATTTACATATTTTTAGTATAGTAATAATTAGGTGTTCCCTTCTTGTCTAAGTTGATATTAAAATTTTAAATCCACTAAAATGCACAGTACAGAATTATGATTATGGAATTCATAGAGGAATAAATATAACAGCATATCTTTTAATTCTGCAGCTCAAAGTAGATTGCCCCAAAGTGGCAATTTTTTAAAGCTTTCTTTCAGCTTTTATAACTTCGATGATTTCATTTCTGGCACAGTTTCTTATTTATATCTCATATTGTATACTTTCTTTCCAAAAAAGATCTTAATGACCCAGATAACCATGATGGTGTGATCACTTAAGAGCCAGACATCCTGGAATGCAAAGACAAGTGGGCCTAAGGAAGCATCACTATAAATAAAGCTCATGGATGTGATGGAATTCCAGTTGAGCTATTTCAAATCCTAAAAGATGATGCTGTGAAAGTGCTGCATTCAATATGCCAGCAAATTTGGAAAACTCAGCAGTGGCCACAGGACTGGAAAAGGTCAGTTTTCATTCCAATCCCAAAGAAGGACAATGCCAAAGAATGTTCAAACTACTACACAATTGCACTCATCTCACACACTTGCAAAGTAATGCTCAAAATTCTCCAAGCCAGGCTTCAATGGTATATGAACAGTGNCATGGAACAACAGACTGGTTTCAAATTGGGCTGTATGGTTTCAAATGTCAAAACTGTATATTATCACCTTGCTTATTTAACTTATATGGAGAGCATATCATGCAAAATGCTGGGCTTGATGAAGCACAAGCTGGAATCAAGATTGCCGGGAGAAATATAAATAACCTCAGATATGCAGATGACACCACCCTTATGGAAGAAAGCCATGAGCCTCTTGATGAAAGTGAAAGAGGAGAGTGAAACAGCTGACTTAAAACTCAACATTCAAAAAACAATTATCATGGCATCTGGTCCCATCACTTCATGGCAAATAGATGGGAAAGCGATGGAAATAGTGACAGGGTTTCTTTTCTTGGGCTCCAAAATCACTGTTGATGGGGACTGCAGCCATGAAATTAAAAAGACGCTTGCTCCTTGGAAGAAAAGCTATGACCAACCTAGAGAGCATATTAAAAAGCAGAGACATTACTTTGCCAACAAAGGTCCATCTAGTCAAAGCTATGGTTTTCCCAGTAGTCATGTATGGATGTGAGAGTTGGACTATAAAGAAAGCTGAGCACCGAAGAACTGATGGTTTTGAATTATGGTACTGGAGAAGACTCTTGAGAGTCCCCTGGACTGCCAGGAGATCAAACCAGTCCATCCTAAAGGAAATCAGTCCTGAATATTCATTGGAAAGACTGATGCTGAAATTCCAATACTTTGGCCACCTGAAGTGAAGAACTGACTCGTTGGGAAAGACCCTGATGTTGGGAAAGATTGAAGGCAGGAGAAGAAGAGGATGACAGAGGGTGAGATGGTTGAATCGCATCATCAACTTGATGGACGTTGAGTCTGAGTAAGCTCTGGGAGCTGGTGATGGACAGGGAGACCTGGTGTGCTGCAGTCCATGGGATCACAAAGAGGTGTACATGACTAAGCGATTGAACTGAACTGATACTTTCTTCCGTTTTGCTGGAGAATTTCCTTAAAAAATCAATTTTTCATATGGAATATTGGGGGTAAAACTTCTGATTCCCTGTCCAAATATAATTTTACTCTGCCCTCACTCTGATAAAATGGCTGAACCTCATTTGTTTCTAGGATAGTTCCCTTGTAAGATGACCTGTGTATTCTCTCTGGAACTCTTTAAGATGGTGTTTTTTGTTTTCTTCTTTATTCTAAGTGTTCTGACCAAGCATGGTCCTTTATTCATCCCTCTAGATCAATTTCAATAGGTTATATCAACTCCAACATTCATATGAAATGCTTTTCTATTATTTTTACTCTTTTAACTTTTTCTGTGATGTTTCTTTTTAACCTCTGGAGTTCCGATTAGAAGGTTATTGGTCATTTTTAATCTATTCACTATTTGGACTTACTTTTCTCTCATATTTTTCATCTGTCTTATTGCATGTTATAAAGATTCTCCCTGTTTTCTACCAAAGAATTAGCTTAATTTGTGCCCTATCAGTTAACTTAATTCTATATTACAGTTTCCATATTTTCAATTGCTAAGCATTGTTTCCTGTCCTCCGATTACTCCTTTTCATTCTAATTCCTATTTTATGGATATAATATTCTCTAAAGTCCCACTGAAGTTATTAAATTAAAAGAATTTTTTTTAAGTTCTCTGCTCTACTTTGAACCATCTGAGCTCAGTTCTTTGGTGTATCTTCTTTCTTTGACATCATATAGATTTTCCTCAAATATTTTATGATCCTTGGGTTTGGCTATGTTTTTGGAGGAAAATATTCCATGCTTTTTAAAAGTTGAGTAGAGAGAAAAGGAATGAAGTAAAAGAAAAGAACACTTTAGTTTCTCTTCAGCACTTAAGTGTTCATTAATATTCAACAAATTCTAAATTATTCAGAAGAATTTGGGAATTTCTTTCCTACTCAGAAAACTGAAATGGAGTAGAAGAAACGGAACAGAAGGTCTCCAAAGTATTAAATCTGATTACCCTCAGATTTTATCATCTGTAATCTAGGGTTCCTAATGGTTATATATAAATCTAAATCACATCTTACTGCAAGGAGATCAAACCAGTCAATCCTAAAGGAAATGAACCCTGAATATTCATTGGAAGGACTATAGCTGAAGTTAAGCTTCAATACTTTGGCCACCTGATACAAAAAGTTGACTCATTGGAAAATACTTTGATGCTGGGAAAGATTAAAGGCAAAAGAAGGAGGAGGTGGCAGAGGATGAGATGGTTAGATAGCATCATCGACTCAATGGACATGAATTTGAGCAAACTCTGAAAGATAGTGGAGGACAGAGGAGCCTGGCATGCTGCAGTCCATGGGGTCACAGAGTCATCATGTCCATAACTTAGCAACTGAACATCACCTTACTGACAGTCTCAAAAAGCACACAATCGTCAACAATGAAAACTGTATATTTAGTGTAAGAATTAACCTACATTTTCTTCCCTCTGCATCTTCCCCCAAACTCTACTTACATTTGTTGTCATTTTCTGAAATGGGTTCTTATTGTCCCATGGGAAATGACTCAAACGATAGAAATCCTTGGTCTCTGGCTCTTATAAGGGTCAGTTCAGCATAAGCAGGAGGAAGGACTGGCGCTGGGAGAAGACTGGTCCCCTCTTACCTGCTGTGTGGTGCTGGTGACAATGCCCTGCTGAAGGCGATAGGCCTGCTCTTGAAGGTATTTTCTAGTCTCGTGATTCCGGAGCAGATAGTTTTCTATCTGGAAATTAAGCACAGGTCTCTCTCAAGAACACATGTCAACTCAGCAGAGAGTAAAGTCATCAATGAAACAGCCAGCTGCTGAAGTGAAGACCCAAGCAACCAATATACACATCCTGCCAGGGCCCTGACCCCACAGAATGTACGAGATGGGGCAATGGAATATCAGATGCGTTATAGGTGTTCTTAGAAATTTCACTTAGAAATTTCACTTGCAGGTAACAGGGGTGATTTTTATGTGACTCAGTAGTTAACAAAGAAGAGCAAATGTTTAACTGCCTGCAGGATTAGACACCCCATTTACTGCCTTTTCATCACTTTCCTGCACATGATCGTAATCTTTTTCGCTCACAAATTTTTAACCAATAAACAGTTCAGAAGCTAAATAAGTACCCCTAGAGAGTATGGATGGTCCTTTCTGAACCACTTGGCTTTATTCCAGGGGTAGAATCCACCAGCATTCAGAGAATTCTTTAAAGGAAAAATAGGTACAAAATTGGAAGGATACAGTTTGGTCCATCTCAAAGCTATATACTAATTACCTTAATCTACCAGGTTTACATGTATTTTTAAAAATAGGAATGATTTTAGCAAAATTATCAAAAATTAGAAAATGGATTTCTACAGAAAATGAAAAGTCTTAAAGTTACTTGACAATCTATATTTTTATACATAGACAATGTTTTATGAAAAACTCAAAAATATAAATAACTAGATTGGAATAAAGTATTTAAGAAGAACAATATACACACTGGGAAAAAAATGTAGGATAAACTATTGGGGATTATGAATACCTATTAAGGTGTTTTTTTAAAGAATGATCTGAGATGACTAAGTATGCATCTATTTTTTTAAGTTGTTGCTTTTATTTGTCTTATTAATGCAACTTAACCATTTGGCTTCTAACTTGTCACTATAGTTCCCTAAGAACTTTTAATAACTATGAGGCTTTCAGTATTATTACATTTTCATTTTAATTTTGCATATGCTAAAATAACTACTACTTAATACCAATTAGGAACAATTAAAACAGACTATAATTACTATCATCCCTGGAAACTATAAAGCAGAGCAAAATGTACCATTTTACTAAACATAAATGAAGAAATTAAAAAAAACAAAAAGATCCCTGAAATGGAGTATCATTAAAGTGACACATTAATACCATGACATTATATTACATTAATTTTCTTTTGCTGCTTCCCAAGAAGTCATCTCTTTCCAAGGTGACATTACCATCAAGGTAGAATATCTTTGCTAAAAAAAGATTCTTGCCTGAAATTGGCAGACACACATTGTCCCCCAGTTTGGGGTACTTTGGCTTTGTTATTTGTTCTACATTTGGCCTCATTGAGCCCTGGCCATGGGCCAGTTCTGAGAGCAGCTTGTTTACGCAGGAGGCTCCGCTCATATACAGGCAGTATACCCGAGGCAGGCCCATGCATTACCAGGACTGCCCTGGGTGCACCAACCGTGCTTCACAGACTGGGCCTGGAGGGAATATTTTAGAAAAAAAATAATATTCTAAGCTTATTTCTAAAAGCTAGTACAGGGAGAGAAGAAAGACAATGCTAAGTGTCTCTAAAAACAGTCATGTACACATCACCACTGAAAAGTATTTGCATCTTGAATTAACAGGGTAAATTTTCCTTCTATGCACTTTTAGGGACCAAGGCAGAGAACCAGGACAGGACAGGGGCTTGACTCAGGTCAAATGGCAAGGGAAAGAGCCAAGAATGTCATTATCACATCGCCAACACCCCTGGGCAGCAGTGACCTGGGAGACAGTCTGGAGTCCGTTAGACATCTTCAGTCTCACTGCTGAAAACAGCAGCACATAGGCAGAAAACAATGTGTTTTAATAAAGGAATCTTATATTTTAAAATAATAAAGACTGAATACAGAATCACAATATTGCTCTTCAGTAGATTAAAATTAAAGAGCAAGAGGACAGGGTCCTGTGACAATGAAAAATGGAATATATAAAAGCATAGTAAATACTATAGGAAAAGAAAACAATAAATATGAGCTTTAAAGTCAACAATTTTCATTTAAAAAACACAAATTTTATAATTAACATATTTGAATACTCTGTTCTTTTTCATCCTCTCCTTTTCTGCCTTCTCTGATTTTAAGCATTATATATGATTCACTTTTTTCTCCTTTCTTAGAGATTTATAAATATTTTAGTGGTTGCCCTAGTGTCTGCAAAATACATTCACAATTAATTCAACTCTTCTTTCAAATAACACTAGAATTGCCACTTGAACAACATGGGTTTGAACTGCACAGGTATGCTTGTAAGCAGATATCTTTCAATAGTAAATACTATGGCACTACAGGGTCCATGGCTGGTTGAGTCCATAGATGTAGATAAGGTGGGCCAATTGTAAGTTATACTCAGATTAACCCCGAGGCTGTCCATTTCACAAGTGGTACAGATACATTAATGACAGTATTGCCAATTTCTCCCTTTCATCCCTTGTAACACCACATAGAAAGTCTATTTCTTATTTTTGAAGGAATATTTTGCTAGATGTAGAATTCTAGTCTGCTGGGTTTTTTCCCCTAAATACTTTAATATCTCACTCTATTTTCTTCTTGTTTGCATGATTTCTGACTCAAAGTCTGATATAATTCTTGTCCTTATTTCTCAATATGCAAGAAGCATTTTCCCCTGTCCTCCTTCAACATTTTCTCCTTGATTTGATTTTCAGCAGCTTGAATATGATGTGCTTATTTACATGTTGATTTGGGGCGGGGGGGAGCAGTATTTATCTTGCTTGGTGTTCTCCGAGTTCCCTGGATCTGTGGTTTGGTTTCTATCATTAATTTCAGAAAATTCTCAGTTATTATTTCTTCTGTTCCTTTCTCTTTTTTCTCCTTCTGATATTCCCATTACAAGGCTATTCAATGTTTTGTAATTTTTCCCACAGTTCTACGATATTCTGTTCTTTTTTCCTCCTATCCATTTTTCTTCTTTGCATTTCAATCTGGAGGGAATATTTTAGAAAAAAATATGTTTGGCAAAGTTTTTTCAGGGAAGTTTCTACTGACATATCCTCAAATTCAATAATTCTTTCCTCCACTGCCTCCAGCCCACTGATGACCTAATTAAAGGCACTTTTTTGTTTGTTAGAGCATTTCTGTCTTCTAGCACTTCCTTAATTTTTTTCTTAGTTCCTCCCTCTCTGCTTTTAGTACCTATCTGCTCTTGCATGTTTTTTTTTACTTTTTCCATTAACGCCCTTAACATATTTGATTGTAATTGTTTTAATGACCTGCCTGATAATTTCAAACTCTGTGTCATATCTGAGTCTGGTTCTGATATTTGCTTTGGCTCCTCACACTGAGTTTTTTCTTGTCTTTTAGCATGTCTTGTACTTTTTTGTTGAAAGCCAGATATGCTGTATCTAGTAATAGGCACTGAGGTCATCAGTCTTTTAATGTGAAGTTTCTATGTTCATCCAGCTAGAAACTGGATTGTGCTGAATGTCTGCTATAACTGTGTATGTCAGGGGCTTTAAGTTCTTCTATCAACCTGTTTATGTCTCTCCTGCTATTTTGGGGTTTCCCTAGAAATGCCTTCTTAAACAGTGTCTTACAGCTTTGCTCAGTTGTAGTTCACTGTTAATATAGTTGATGTGTGATGTAATGTAATACGGAGGGGAAACATTCTACAATCTTAAGATTAAATTCAGGCCTAAAAAAAAAAAAAAAAAACAACTAGGTCTGAGTCCCTGGACTGTTACCTTTAGATGCATTTCTTGCCTTCTTTTTTTTCCCCCTTCCTTATGTGAAACAAAAGGCTGGAAGGGGATACAGTGGTCGGCCTTCCACTAGGTCAGGTAAGGCTCTCATAGAATAGTTTCTCTTGAGGGTTGGCTTTTGTTACAGAGGATAGCATGTTCTGAGTGTATTTCAAAATGGTTACCTTTTCCCATCCCCCTGCCAGAAACAGGAGCGAATTATCCTCCAATCTTCATTGTGATAACATGTTGGGGTTCTTGTAACTAAAACCCAGGCAAGGGTCAGAGCCTACCTAAGACTGAGCCTCTAAGAGTTTTTAGCTCTCAAATTAGTCCACACTAAGCCTGCAACAATTCATCAATTGCTGTTTAATCATTCCTCTGTGTTACTGGCTCCACTAGCTTCTGCTCCTGGTAAGCTGATCCCAGCTTTGATTTTCTGTATTACCATTTCCGGGGTGACAGTTTGCAGTGTCACCTCGATTCTCTGGCAGATCTAGGAAAAGTCACTCATTTTCTGTTTGCTAAGCTTTTTTCTTGTTGTGAGAATGGGAAAGATGACTTGCAAACTCTGCATGTCTAATCTGAAATCAGAAACCTCATCTCTATAGAATATGTCTTCTGTTATAAGCTGACTAATATCCTTTAGGAAAGCATAAAGATATCTAACATTTGTACTTTGCTCTATGGTCAACAAATTGCTTTTCATGTATACCACCTCATTTGATCCTTATGGAGACCTTAGGCAAATTAGACACACTTTCAGTTTTCTTATCCATAAAATGAGGATATAATAGAACCAAACTCATGGATTTACTTTAAAACTGACAGATATTAATTTATGTAAATCATTTAATATAGTGTCAGGCACCCAGGATGAACTATATCCTAAGTGTCAGCCAAATACTGTTATTGTGTAGCTTTATTTTTTATATAGATGAAGAAACCAAAGTTCAGAAACACTAAGTACTTACAGAACTTACAAAGCTGGGAAGAGTCTTACTTGGATCTTTTGAACACAAATCTTAGATGGTTTCTTCTGCAACCCCACACTTTCCTCTTCCTCCACTCCCAACCTTACTCCTTTAATTCACTGAATGTCTAAAGAACATCTAAGCATGCATACCAGGTACTGCACTAGCTTCTGAGAATAAAACAAGATGAAAAATGCAGGCTCTGCCTTCAAAGAGCTCAGCCATTGGGAGAAAAAAAAAATGCAGGCAGGTAACTCAAAACAGTGTCACAAGGCCAGTGAAGAACCACCTACCTAGGGGGGAAAAGGGACTCTGAGAAGTCTTCCTGGATGGGTTGACCCTGGATTTCAGTCTCAACAGACATGTACAGTAGTGAGGTAAGCACAAGTATCATCTAGACTCAAGCAGTGATTCTCAAATGTTACAAGCATCAGGAAAGCTCAAAAAAACACAGATGGCTGAGTCCTGCCCTAGTTTCTGAGACCCAAGAATTTGCATTTCTATCAAGTTCCCTGAAGTAGAGAAAAACAAAGACCAAGGGGTGGTTAAGAGATGAAATTGACAGTGAATAGGAGACAGATCCTGGGCAGAAATTCTTGCCAAGCTAAGGAGATTAGGCTTTATCCTAAAAGCCTCTGGGAAGGACTGGATTGAAGGTTTTAGTCTGATCAAAATCACCAAGAAGAAAGACGGCTATTTTTGACTGTGGCATGGAAAACCGACAAAAGGATGTAACCATCCTGGTGAGAGAAGATGAGGCTGGAACAAAAGCATCTGTTACAGGAATAGAGGGAAGGAGAGTAAATGAAGAGATTTATGCTACACAGTTAGTAAACTTGGTGATGGATTGGCTGCAGACGATATAGGGGAAAAGAAGTCAAACTTAGGAGACTGGGCAGAGGGTGGTACCACCAGATGAAAGCACAAAGAGGGAAGAAAGATTTAGGAGATTTCCCAAATAACAGCATAATAAATGTGGAGTCAGATGAGAAGTATTTGAGCACATCTAAATGTAAGATGCAATGGTAGCCATGACCATAGAAAGAGAAGGATGAAGATATGAAAGAGTGAAAGAATGACTTGACAGGGCAAGTTACCAGCAAAGGGCAGAGATGCTGACGTCAAAAGCATCATGGATGGTTGGGCTTCGAAGGGAAAGCGCCCACCCTCCTCTGGGGTTGCCAGAAAGGAAGTGGGAAAGGGTGTGATTCAGACACATTTATAGAAAAAGATGGCAAAGAGAGATCTCAGCAATACCCTGTTTCTAGATGAAGAAGGAAGGGAAGGTTCAGGCTGTTGAGGATGAAGGATGTGTTAGCTGACATGGATTTCTACCCATTCTCCAAAGGATAAAGAGGAAGTTATCCATGCCTGAGCTCTGACATGCTGATGTTATAAGAATGTTATTTCACTCCACCTAACGTTCACAAGTTTTAATCTTTCTTATGTTATTCCTCCCCCAGTCATGCATTATGCCAGTCAAGGTCACAGGAATACAAACTAATATGAAAATATCTTTGTAAAATACAAAGCACTGTTCATATGTTCAGAATTATTATTCACATAATTCCATTCAAATGTGAATTTATTATAATTAAGCTATTGATCCTTCAGTACCTTCTGGAGAGCCTCTTCTGTCTTTTCAGGGTTTGTTTTTAAGGCCTGAGAAGCATCGTACATAGGAATTGGCATAAATCTCAACGTGTAGTTCCTAGAAGGAGAAAATGGTATGTTTATTAAAAATAACTTCCTATTACTTTAATTTCACAGTCTTTTTTGAAAAATCTGAAAAGAGAATTGCCAAAGTGTCTTAGAAAATTCTAAACTATTGGAACGTCTTAGGCCCCATGATTATAGGGTCAGCCTTCTTTCCTATCCACGTGTGCGACATCACGGGTGCCCTCGTCACGCTGTCTGCAAAACTGACAGAATTTGAAGGAAACTGGTTTTGTTGTTTTGCTTTTAGTTTTCAATTATAGCAAGGACAGGACTTTCAAACTTAAACTGCAGAAGAGGGACTGAGAGAAAGGCTGGGGGAAATGTCCAGATCAACTCACTCACTTGGATTTCAATCACCAGCGGATCTGAAGGTACTTTGATCACCCGTGATGATGGATGACAGGCCCTGAACAGTACAGAAAAACCCCAAAATAGAACCAAAACATTTGCTTGCCAAGCCAAGGACATGAGCATTCACAATAACAGTCTGCTCAGGCTCTGGGCTCCTTTAAATAAGCAAGTCCAAGACCAGTGACTGTCTTTAGGAAACCTTCCTGCCTGGCTCAACACCCTGACCTCTGAGGGCCTGGCAGTCTGCACCCCACATCAGCCCGAGAACCCCAGGCAAAGCAGCTGTGGAACTCTGGGTCTATTTATTACCTCAGGGCTGCCGACCGGTTGACACAGGAATGCAAGGGTGGGTCATTTTTGCATGAGAACACTTGAAGCTGCACTCTGGCCTCTGCTCCTGACCTTGTTACAAAGTACTGTGGGTCTGGATTAATGTCCACACCTGCTCCCCTACCACAAACTCAAGCCCTGGGGGTGCCTTCTCTTTCCCACCCCAAATGCATGTTTCTACCACAAGACACTCAGAATATTGACCTTGTAGGCCACGTGTTAACAGCTGAGGCATAGGCTTCACTCAGCTGGCTTATTTCAGCAGCACTTGAGGTGTGATTCTTATGGTTAGTTAGATGGCTTCTACTGGAAGAATAAATTAACAACTAACTCCTAAAACAGGTATGAATAATGAAGAAATAATAAAGAAAATAAACAGTCATCTTAATAACAGCAGTCATCTGGATGGCTACCAAATGGGGGGAAAAAAAACTGTTCTTCATCCAGTCCAATTTACAGGGTGACTTTAAAGTAAAATAACCAGCAAAGACAAGGCTGTTATTTCTGTAACTTTCATTTTTACCTTAACTTTGCTTGAGCAAAATTTCTTTTTTTGACTTAAGAGGAGCCAGACAATTGAAACTAAGGAAAAATATGTCTTTTTGGGGGGGGGGGGGCACACTTGAAGATTTTCTTTTCCCTCATCTGCTTAGCATCATGCTTCAGACCAGCATGGTTTACTTAAACCATACGTGGTTTCACACCATTGGCATCTTGAACCACAGAATATATGAGACTGTAATCCAGGGAGCCCTACTCTTGGCTTCTCAGAGACCTGTCTTGGCTGGCAGTCTGCAACATCATTAGTGTTGCAGCTGCGCTGTTGGCACCCAAATGCAATGATTGGTAAATAACTGTTTCCTTTCAAAGGTTTTGTGGTGCAGTAGGTGTAATTACAGGAGGTTGTGCAGTCACAGGAGGCTCCCAGGAAGGGTGGCCTTGGTGACTGACGGCACAAGCTGCCTTATCCCTGTTTAGTGATCGCCGGAGGTGGCAGCAACTTTTACCTTCTGGCTAAAGGAGAACCACAGGATTTTGGAAGGTACTTAAAGACAATTTACTCTGAATTCTCATTTTATAAAAAAAAAAATCAGTGAGGTGAAATGCTTTGTTCAACATCATAGGCTTGTTGGTGACAGAACTGGGGACTGAATGGAGAACTCCTAATTCCAGGCCTAGGGTTTTATCCAGGTCATCATATTGGGCATGAGAGCTCCACAGAAGGGGCCGTGCATGGAGGGAAACCTGGGAAAATGCATCCTCTTCCCCACCCCAGGGCACCAACTCCTATATCCCTGGCCCCTAATTTTCATCTCGCATTTTGCAACCTCTTGTTTTTAATGCTATACATCTGCTTTGATCATTTCTGCCATTAGAATATAATATGAAGGCTGAAAAGCTCAGAAAGAGCTGTTTTTTCCTAGCATTTTTTTTTTTCCCAGCCACGTTTGTATTCTTCTTTCCACATTCAATTTACTGGGGTAGTAAATTTGACAATAAATAATAATTGCAGACTTTAGTTACAAAGGTAATAAAAAAAGCCTTTAAGAGAAATGAGACAAGCAAGCCTTGCCCTTGCCACTTCTTCAAGTTCACTTTTATTTTCCTGCTGGCTCAGCTGGTAAAGAATCTGCCTGCAATGCAGGAGACCTGGGTTCAATCCCTAGGTTGGGAAGATCCCCTGGAGAAGGCTACCCACTCCAGTATTCTGCAGAATTCCATGGACTGTACATTCCATGGGGTTGCAAAGAGTCAGACACAACTGAGTAACTTTCACTTTGACTTTATTTTCTGGAGCCCAGCTTTTTTTCACCACCGGATTCAGAGTTGTCATCTGGGCAAGAAAGCAAGACCCTGTGGAATTAGGTTTAAAACCATAAGGAGAAAGAAGCAAGGCAAGCAGTGTGTGGGCCTCCACCATGGTATTTGTAACATTGGCAGAATGAGCATCTACGCCCTCATTTTATGGATGAAGAAACTCATACCAGAAGAAAGTCGATGTATTCCCAGGGGTCATGGCTGGTGAGCAGTAAACTGAGAATCAGACAGTCTGGGTCTGAGCTAATCTATTGTTCCTTGTATTACCCCACAGATAACACAAACACCACTGGTTCTTCTCTGTTTTTCTAGAAAGAAGTCCCACATAAAACTTACTTTTCCAAGGCAACAGCTATATCTTGAAAGCCTTGTGCAGTAATGTTGTTCTTGTCCCATATAACAGTCCTGTTTGGAAACCAAATCACAAAGATGATCAGATAATTAGGAATAGAGGAAATGATTCTCCCACTGCAGATACATCTCTCATAGGCAACACTGTCTAGGTAGTTTAGCACAGTGAACTAGGAATAACACTCAGCGTAGTTTCAAACAAAGCAAGGATGAGCATTTCCCCCATATTAGACTCCAAAGCCATTCTCTGCTCAAGGAGGATGGGAGGGAAAAAAAAAAACGACTTAAAAGCAAGAGCACACACATTAACTTACCATTACATCACCTAATGCCCAACCAGCCAGAAAACCCTAAATCCTGACTTCCTGGATATTCTCCCAACATATTCTCCAAATACCATCCTAGTGCTGAAGTCTGAGGCTGAAGCTATTTATATAAGAGGCTACACAGTCTCACGTCCAACATAAAGAATTTCAGATACTGAGATGTTTTTTCCTATTCTAAACAGCTAGAAGGACCATCTGGTATTTTCTGATGTTTCATCACTGCCCTGATGTGGTGTGAGCAGCAGTCCCAGCAACCGAGGTCACTCTGCTGGCAGAACCTCGGGGACTCTAAGGAGGTTGTTTATTTTTTAAACACAAAATCTATTTTGGAAGAAAAGTATTACTTTCCTTTCAGAATGTGAATACTTCAGAAGTATTTTTGGCTTTGTCAATGCACCTGACACGTGAAATGGCTTTTTATTTGTCTGAACGCTCCCAGACTCACAGCCTTTAATTGCTTTCTCTTCCCAACCTCAATGACCTTCCTCACATGCACACTGGCCTTCAAAGAAACTGCTGCAGTTTGGGGCTTTTGCCTTCAATTGAGACAGAAGGTACAGGCTCCGACTTATACCAGAGAGCCAGGGAAACAGCAAGAAAGAGCCCTTGAGGAACAGTGTGAATTATTAACTCTTCTTTCACCAGACTGCTGGGCTAGGTAGCAACCAAATCTCCAAATGTTGGATGGTAATACGGTTACCACATTACTGGTCCCTAAGAGAAGTGGCTACCGCATGGCTTGTCCTTTAGAAAAGCCAGGCCTGGGAAGTACTACAGATGACAACCAATGAACAGATGAGTTGGCTTCCAGGATGAACCTACCTTTGACCCAGTGGACTTCTTGGATCCCTTGGGTTTTAGGTCTTAATGTCGGCAGGAGTGGGAAGGGAAGATAAGACGCTGGGCTCACAACCAATACAGGGGAGCCCCTGGTGTAATTCCTCCGGTCTTCCCAGCTCTGCATGTTTGGCACTGTCCCCAAGCCCCTCCTTTCCCAACACATCTGGCAGCTGTCAATGCTGCTGTGAAACAGGAAACTGCAATGGTTCTCAGTTGGATTCGCCTCACAGTGGAAATCTTGAAGACAGCAGTGTGAAGGAACGACTGTGTCTAAATTTGGGAACACTCTCCTCTATATTTTGACAGAAGACTTGAAGCTGTCGTCTCCGCTCCCCAGCTTGGCCTCCTTGGAAACTCACACGGACACAGCAGGTCCCCAACGCCTGCGGGTCAGACTCCCCTCCAGGCCCTCCTGAGAACCAGCGTCCACCCCTCGGGGCCGAGGGCCCGGCCTGCATACCTGAGCTTGGTGTTGATCTGCAGCGCTTTGGCCAGCATCTTCGCCCCCATGTCCCCCATGCCATTGCCACTGATGTCCACTTTGGTCAGCGAGGTGTTGCTACCCAGGGCGTTGATGATGATGGTGACCCCGGTCTTGAGTTTCGAGTCAGCCAGGGACAAGGACTGCAGAGGCTGTGGAGGCAACGCCAGATACCACTCACTCGGTCACATGAGAGCGCCACTGCCCAGGGGCCCTGCTTCACGGAAAACCATCAGGGCGGGGCCCACTGCACAAGCCCGAGGTGGAAACTTTGGAAACTTCCGGCTAAAAGGCACTAGTGAATGGGATCCAAGGGTTCTGGACCTTGGGAGTCAAACATGAAGAGCTTGTGTCAATGCTGAATATCACCCACCTCTCCTCTAAGGGAAGCTGTGGGAAGATACCCAGAGTGGCAGATGCCAGCTCTTTTGAAGTGGAGGATGGGAAGAAATAAAAATACTGCACAAAAATGTCTGTGCTTCAGTATGGCAACACTATCCTTTCTGATCCATTTTATTTCTAGGCAAGGTAAAATGGCATCTTAAAATACCAGTAGAGGAATGATGCATGCATGCTAAGTCACTTCAGTCGTGTCTGACCCCTTCCAATCCTGTGAACTGTAGCTCACCGGCTCTTCAGTCCACGGCACTCTCCAGGCAAGAATACTGGAGTGAGTTGCCATGCCCTCCTCCAAGGGATCTACCCATTGAACCTACATCTCTTATGTCTCCTGCACTGGCAGGCAGGGCCTTTACCACTAGCATCACCTGGGAAGCCCAGTAGAGGAATACTGATACTAAATTACTAGTAGTAGTAAATGTAAAATAAAATCCAGCCAGGATCAGTAATAGCTGACATTCATTGAATGTTCACTATGATTAATGACTATTTAAGCTTTTTACTTGTGTTTACTCATTTAATCAACCCAATAATCCAATACTTAGGTATTATTATGCATGCTAAATCACTTCAGTCATGTCCAACTTTTTGTGACTCTACGGACTGTAGCCCGCCAGGCTCTTCTGTCCGTGGGATTCTCCAGGCAAGAATACTGGACTGGGTTGCCATGCCCTCTGACAGGGGATCTTCCTGACCCAGGGATCAAACCCGTGTCTCTTACATCTCCTGCATTGGCAAGTGAATTCTTTAACACTAGCACCACATGGGAAGCCCAATATTATACTAGGTATTATTACCCCTATTCTCAAGTTAAGAAATACAAAGATTAAGTGACTCAACCAAGGTCACACAGAAAGCAGCTGAAGAGGAACCAGTCTGTTTGCCGATTCTGTGTTTTTAACTCCTCACAACACAAAGCCTCTGTTGGTTTTTCCTGCATCTTTTTCATCTTCCCTGTTAGCTTTTTCTTATAAGATCAAATCAAAAAGCATACCTACAATTTTTTTAAAAAAGTCAAATGTATGTGACTTTTTCATTACCATAAGCTGTATAGTGAACCCAACCCAACCACTCATTGTCCATTCAAGCCAGAGACTAAAAGCCACTTGGGGCTTCCCAGGTGACTTAATCGTAAAGAATTTGCCTGCAAAAAAAAAAAAAAGAATTTACCTGCAATGCAGGAGATGCAGGTTCGATCCCTGGGTCAGGAAGATGGCAACTTGGAGAAGGAAATGGCAACTTGCTCCAATATTCTTGCCTGGGAAATCCCAAGGACAGAGGAGCCTGGTGGGCTACAGTCCATGGAGTTTCAAAGAGTCAAACGCGACCTAGCTACTGAGAACAAAAGCCATGCAGCCTAGAGGCAGGTTTTGCTTGGTCTGCATAGAATATGACCAAAAAAGAAAAAAGAAAGGTACTCCCTACTTACACCCTGCTCACACTTACTTGTTTATGTCACCTTCCTAGAACTGTGGGCATTTAAATTTGCAATCTCCATCTTCAGCCATATCTGAATTAATGAGATGGTGAGAATTCCTGGACTTAAAACCAGTGTTGCTCTAAAAGTCAGAACTAAGACTTGCCTGGGGATCTGAATGTCTTCTGGGTTGCTTGAGGTGGTCTAGATTGGCCCCACTATACTCAACAATTCAATATGCTAACTCCATAAGCAGTTCCAACATTACTGGGAAGCAGCTTCTAGGATGATCTATGACCAGGTTCTATGGTGGCCCATGGGACTCGGGTTATCAAGATGTGCCTGGGTGGTCTGTAGGATCCCCCACCACAAATCCTGGGGTGTATTCACATCCATTCATCCAATAAACACTGATTCCCATGCATGTATGCTCAGTCATGTCTGACTCTCACAACCCCATGGAATATAGCCCACCAGGCTCCTCTGTCCATGGAATTTTCCAGGCAAGAATACCGGAGTAAGTTGCCATTCCCTCCTTCAGGGGATCTTCCCAACCCACAGATCAAACCCAGGTCTCTTGTATCTCCTGAACTGGCAAGTAGATTCTTAACCACTGCGCCACCTGGGAAGCCCCTGACTTCTAATAGAGCACATGTTCAAGGCACATCTACTGATAGGCCCAGGAGGCAGGAAGACAGTGTTGACAGATTAAAGACCCATACACTTACAAACTGGCATTATGCGTTTGATTACACTTTTCCCGAGTGACTGTACTTAATATCAAAATTTGTGATTGTCCTTATTATCAAAATTCGACCATGTTTTCTAAAAGTAATATATCTATATTAAAATCAAAAGGTATTAATATTAGTTAGAATCCATTTTTTTCAAGTTAAATGACATAGTAAGTGCTAAGGCAATTAAAACCTCAGCCCCAAAGCCTGAATAATCTTAGACTCAGGTCGGCTTAGGGAGGTGGCTTCAATTTTCTTAAGATTCTACATTCAAGTAGATAGAAGAAACTTAACAAAAAATGCTTCAGACTCAGGAAACTTCATGTTTTAAATGAAAATGTAAGCAATGGTGTTTTAATAAAAAGCTGTAATCCCATCATTTCAATGAGCTCTATTCAACTGCAGAAATGATACATTATAGCTTCTTCCTAATACTGGAAAGCTGCCAAGTCTCCAAGCTGGTGAGCACCACTTCCAGTACTATTTTCAAACTTTAATACACCCCAGTTAACACTTAAAAATAATAGGCAGAGTCATTAATGTGAATAGAACACCCAGAATTGCATGCATATTTATAAGGTCATCCCTTCTTGATTTACTGCACTTCCAGGTAACATGATTACTTGAAATCTTACTGTTCCTGTTCAGAGCTGAACATGCTTAATCTAACAATCTGTCTCCTTGCGACAGGCACTCCCAGGACAAACACATACTGTTCTATTGGTCATAGCATGGATTTGTATGTAATACTTCAAAACAACAGTCTCTGTCATCTTGGCCCCTCAATGTTACTGTCCCCTGACCATGGTTGCTGCAGCCTGACAACCACTGTCTAGAGTTGCAGGCAACACTGGAACCTGCATGTCTGGATTTTCCAAGTGAACATAATGTGCAATACTGGGCGAATAAAGTATTCCATGGGCTGTTTAAGAACAACTTCTACAGACACAAAGTCACAATGTAAAACGTAGAGAGTTTCCTTTTTATATATAAAGACCTTTAAAAAAAATCAGCCCAGTGGTGCCAGTTATGGGTGGAATTTTTATAGTCACAAGATTTAACTCCTAATCATTTCAAATTGTTTTGAACATTACTGATTCTGAAGTAGGAGAAAAGAAAAAAAAAAGAAGGTAATTGCTTTTTGAAAAAGCCACCTACTTTTCTATGACATGAACATAAAAGGCTTTTCACTGTATGTTATTAGCAGCACATTTCTCAAATTTATAACTTGACAGAATTCACATTCATGTATCAAACTTTACCATCTGCAAATATGTTTTTAGGTGTGCTTTAAATATCAAGATTATCTTTGAGTAAGAGACTTTGAAAATTACAGGAAGAGAATTTAAAGACCCTTGTGTAATAAGCAAAACATGAAATTAACATAAATTTTCCTAAAATATGTGCTAAGAAACAAATATTTGGGAATGATTATTAAACACGATTCTGTAGATTCTGCAATACTGGCTTCTCCAATCTTTTAAAACTGGGCCAACTTTGGGAAATCAAAATCTCAAATACAGTAAGGTGGTGGAAAGTCAAATTAAATATGTAAAACAAACTGCATAAATTCTGAAAAGTATAAATTACATTCTAATTATGCTTCTAACTTTAATAACCCAGTATAACAGTAACAAAATATAGGGCTTATTGGCAAATGAGGACAAAGAGCAGTGCTTGAATTCATTAAATAATAATGAGTTTCATTTCTAGCCCACAGGTTGGAAATTATATCCACACAGTGAAGAGGCAGGACAGCAGAATTTTCTCCTGCCCTCCAGATCAGAGCCCCACAAAGAGATGTGGGCAAAGGCAAGCAAGGAAAAGCACCAGCCTCCATCTCTTCTGACCTCATGGCTTTCTCTGAAAATTTTGCTTACAGTTTTAGCAGAATTTGCTATTACCCTATACGAATTCAAAAGGCAAAATCATACTTCAAAAAAATGCAACACATCTCACATAATTAACATAGGAAATTACTCCTAAGACCTACAAAAGCAACTATCACCCAACACAAATAATATGAATCTTCATTATACAAATTGATTTGGATTTTAAGAACCATATAAGCTCTTTGGTGACTGAGGACTAAGACAGGAAATGGACAAAATATTAAAGAGCATCAGTAAAATACAAGATGTGATACACTAGGTTTCAATGAAAGGAATTAATGGTAGAGTGCTTCTCACTTGGTCCAGAAAATATCTTTTCTTATGCATGTCTAAGGGTAGCAAAATATGATACTATTTGAAATTAAATTTCTTTACCTTGAACCAACTATTAGCCAGGAACAATTAAAGGGGATAAAAATATAAGGATTATTAGAGCTCTAGACACAATTTAAGATGGCGAACAACTTTCTTAGTCTCTTATAATCCTGCATAATTACTGGATGAAATTCAAATTAGCAATATGATGTTTCTCAGCATGAGATTAGCTCATAAAGTCAACTAGAGAGTAAAAATTCATACCTGCAGATTAGTGTATTAGCTGAAGCTAGAAAGTAACAGCTTATTGAAAGATGGGCTTAGGAGTAAATGTATATTTCTTTTCACCTATTAGTTTCAATCTTCCTTTAATTAGTGATTAGTTGAATAAAGTGAAAAGTAGGTAAATGAAAGTATATGCTAACTGTGCTAAAACATGAATATTTACTTCATTTAAAAATAATAGAAAATGTATGCAGAGATAAAATTATCTGAAAGCATATTAGCACTAACCCACTGGATAAAATTAGTAAGAACAGCAACAGAAAGAAAGGTTTTAGTCAAAAGTGTTGAAAATAATACTCACGGATTCTTCATCTTGAATCATCTGTACTAAGTTGTCCAACACAGGTGTCAGATTTCTAAAGAGATTTTAAAGATGTGGACAGTGGAATCAAATCAAAAGCTTTCAGGAGGCTGGTTATTTTCATCATTGTCATATAAAAAATGCAAAAAACTCTTACTTGGATTTCATATTATTAAAATTTTTGCCTAACGCCAGGTGTTGTATTGATCTGTTTTTACTGAGCCACACTATTAAGGTAGATAGGTCAGATTCTAAACCTGGAAAGAATCAGAGTAAATGGAAAATCAACACACATGTGGATAAATAAATTCTCAGAGGGAACACAATTAAACAAAGGTGCAAAGTATTTGGATAACTTTCTGTACTGTCCTGAAATCCCTGGGATTCTAATCTCCACCCCCACCCCCCCAACAAAGGAACTTTTTGCCCTCTTTTTATGTCCTATTATTTCACAGGGATAAATTCATTCTCCACAAAGACGTATCTAAATCTCTTATGCAACCAGGGGCTAAATAAAGTCAGTAAGGAATGGTGATACATGATGGTAGAAAGCTTCATCTCTCCCCACCCCTTCGTGAGAGAAGGTTCTGACATACTGTTGACTGGAAGGTGATTGCAGATAAAGTTGTCTATGCAAATTCATACAGCATGCTTGTCTGTGCAGGTTCATACTCACATGCTACTATAACCAGTAGAAATAAAGCTAATGAAACAGGTTTCTGTATAAATAAATAAGGCCTCAATTTTATTATCACCAAGTCCAACACAAAAGGTTGGACTCAGATTGTTATCAATATATTGCTGGTCTTTTTCTTTTTTAAACTAAATTGTTTTACTGCATAGACTTTTCGCTTTTTGGCCATGAAACAAACTTAAGACTTTGACATGAAATTATTCCATAAATATACTCTCTTAAAACATAAATGGCTATAGTTACCATGAAAAAAAGAAAAAGAAAGTACTTATAAAAATTGTGGAAAAAGAAAAAAATAGTCCTCTAATCAAGGAGTGAAATATCAGTTTTATTAAGGTGTCATCTAGATTGGATTAGACTATTTTCCCTTTACTAACTTCCTTCAAATACTATTTCTATGTGTTTTCTTCTCTAATTTCTGACTTACCATTATCAGAGATGTCTAGGCTGCTGATGTTGTGAATTTCAGCAATGCAGCCTTCTAGTACCTGCGCACCTCCAGATCTCAGCTAGAGAAACACAAACCAAACAGGGGAAAGTGGTCACCTACTGGAAGGGTGAAACCAATCAATTAAAAATAGGAGAGATAGCCTTGAACTTAGCACCAAAGAAAAAGAGAAAACTTATCAAAAAAAAAAAAATCATCAATGCAAAGAGCCAACCACTAGTCATTGTGTCCCATTACACATAAGTCTGAAAATCATTAGAAAAGAAACAGAAGACAGAGATCACCCTGCATCACCACAGGCAAAACCGTCGCTGTCAACCCACAAGAATTTTCTTCATTTCTGACTTTTGGAAATCTGACGAATACCTTTATACATGAGAAATCACTACTGTTATATCTGATTACTACAGATTTCAGGTATAACTCTCCATCATATAGCAGCAAAACAACAGAAGGAGACAATAAAAACCTAAAAAGTCATTTTCATCTTTTTCCCAAAAACCAAAAGCTTATTTTACCAAGGTCAGAATATCTTTTTGTTTCCCATTCAGCAACTATCTGAGTTCTTACTACATGTTAAAACATTGTGCAGGGTGCAGTTTTCCAAGCTGTGGCCCTCTGTTCAGGAAACTTATGATCTAATAAGAGAAACTATCATGTATTGGGAACCTACTATGGGCCAAAGGACGTGGTAGTTTCTCTATTCACTTAAGAAAATGAAATTTTAAGATTCTATACCAAATTGATAACACTTTCTACTTGTTCACATTTTGATGTAAAAATTTAAAAAGAATCCTTATTTCACTATTTTAGATGCAATATGTCTATGGAACTCTGAACCAAAACCAGAATTTTGCCAATCCCTGGCTGCTTATATGTTAAGCAGAACTTTGCACAGATCTTTGGGATCACTTTATTCAGTTTTTTTAGCGGGGGTGTTTACATTCAGTCTTTTCTATTTTTTCGGGTGACAGCAGATCACTGTGAGGGGCCTGATGTGAACTCTGAAGGGGAGTGTCACACAGAGGCCGACCTCCCTGGAAGCTGGTCCACACCCTCCAAGGAAACCAAGACCAACCAAATCCACAGCGAAGCGCTGTGAACGCAGTGGGTGGAACTATGGCTATTTTTATTATATTTTTTGCCAAAGTATTGCCTTATGATAGAGTGGAAATTAAAAAACAACAACAACCAGGTTCTTCACAAATAGATTTAAGAAACACTGCTTCAAGTCACAGTGAACATTATATGCAGACCATATCAATGTTAAAGCAAGAAACAATTTAGGCAAACACTTCAAAGGAACATAATTTGCTTTTCAGAATATGAAAAAATCATGCTTTTGAGGAGATAAGCATGAGTCTTTACAATTTCATTATTTGCTGTTACTGATTTCTCTGTTGAAAAGTCAAACTTATACAAGAAAATCTCTACTTATTATAATATATAGAAAAAATATTCCATTTGTGAAAACACAAAATAGAATGAGGATGAGATTTCAGTGCTCAACTCTGTTTATTTTACAAATACTCCTGACTGATATATGTAGCATAAACCCATAATACTAACATTTTTCGGTACTAAAATGTCAACATATCCTAATTTATTGGTTCATGAAGTACTTACACAGTGGCCAAGCTAAGGAAAGCCCAAGGAGAAAAAACAAAAAAATGTTATCAGCAGTAAGCAGAATAAGAACAGAGAAGCAGAAGTCTCTATCAACACACAACACAAAAAAGCAGAGTGAGAAAAAAACAGTGCAACTAAAATACACTCCCAAAACAAAAATCCAAAACTTAAATAAGAAAATAACTGATCTTCAGTTGCCAGGAACATTCGATTGAATTCACAGGTTATTAGATGCCTAAAATTCCTCCAAAGCTTAAAGCTTTCCCAAAACAGTAAAAGCTTTCCCATTACTGTAAATGAAAATCCTTTTAAATGAATTTGCATAATTAGAGGCTATGTCTGCATGTATGCATGTAAAACTGGTTTTTAAATTACCCTCATTTGGATCCCACACACTAGTACTATTTAAAAGAATGCAAGATCAAAGAGGAGTAAATGTAACTGAATCACTCAATACTTTTTAAAATGTTAAAAATAAAATCCCATTTCTTTCAAGAGAGAAGTGTGGTTTCAAGGAAGGAGGAATATTTCAGCTGTTACTCACAGTTCTAAGTGAATAGTTCTAATACAAAAACATTCATAACAGGGACAGAATCAAGGAAAACTAAAATCTAGAGGACTTTTAATAATTCATATTCCTTCCTCAAGAACGTTTGCCATTTTAAAAGAGGTGGCAAATATTACAGATTTAAATGTAAAATACCGCCCCCGTTGTCACTTTTCTTCTCCAGGGGTTTTATTTTTAATGAAAAAATAACTTCAATCCTGGGAAATTTCCTCACATAAAACTGTGAATACTGCAGGATTCTCCAAGGACAAAATGTGGTTTGACATGATCAGTTCAATATATCCTTGCTGGCAGGGTGTGATGCCAAAGGGTAATTTAGAACCTAAGAGTGATATATAAATTACCATTTCAGAGATATAACCTAAGAGAGATATATAGGGGCTTCCCTGGTAGTTCAACGGGTAAAGAATCCACCTGCAGTGCAAGAGACCTGGGTTCAATCCCAGGGTTGGGAAGAAGGGAACAGTTGCCCACTCCAGTATTCTGGCCTGGAGAATTCCACAGACTATATAGTCCATGGGGTTGTAGAATCAGATATGATGGATCAACTTTCAAGGGAGTAATATACAATTAACCTTTGAACAACTTGGGGGATGAGGGGACTTAAGGGAACCAACCTTCCACACAATCAAAAAATCAAGTACAAACTTCACAGATGACCCTCGGTATCCAAGGTTCCTTCCCCATGTGTAGATTCAACCAACCATTAAGTAGTACTGTAATAGGTATTCAGTGGGAAAAAGTCATGTGTAAGTGGACCCAGGCAGTTCAAACCCATGTTGTTTAAATGTCGACTGTAATTTTGTGTTTCATTAACTACTGTAAGAAGCAATATAGCATGCGACTTGACAGACATGGTCACCAGTACTGTAATTCAAACTGTAGGACAGTGGAAGAACATGGACACTAAGGTAGTATTAACGGGTCCTCATGTCAGTAGTATCATTTTGAAAGAGGAAACAGACAGAACAGGCTCCTTCTTGAAAGCAGGACCCCATCTTGGGCCGGACTGTGGACTTTGAGCTATATGCCCAATATCTATGGAAACGACACACCAACTGGAAAAACAGACCCCCGAATGGAAGAGCCCCAAGGCTCATACCTAGACTCTCCAGTGCCTAAAAGAATACCCTAATTATCTGTGTAACTGGATAGAATCATAAATTCTATTATGCTTATTGGGGTATGACCACAGGCCTATTGATAAGTGTCCACTCTTAACTACCTAGGCTTAAGGCATATGAATCACGGGTTAACTTTGATTGTATCTTTCTTTTCCTTTGTTCAGACTAGTTTCAGGGACTTTGGGGAGGTGGGTTTGGGCACATAGACTTAGAGTATACAATGGTTTCACAAAAACTGGTTGGGGTCCTTGGCTAAGAGGAGACTCTGCCTTGGGCCCACTGTTGTAATAAACTGCACTCCACTATCTGCATCATCCTTCTGAGTGAGTTGGTTTCCCAGAACGCGTGGCTACAACAATTTTATTGCATAATGCATAAATGAATGGCCAAAATGAAGGCGGAATTATCATCAAATTAATAGCAAATTCTACCATCAGTATCTTATTCTTGCCTTAATAAGAAAAATATATAAAGGAAAAAAGGTTACTAGCCATTTGGTGGATCTATATGAAACTGCCAAGAGTTTGCCATTTTTGAATTACAAAAATGTCAGTTTTATATGGTTCACCAAATACAACTGTCTTTGAAAGTTATTTCCAATAGATCACAAAGGAGTTTAAACAACAAACTGTGTAACAATCTAACAGTGTTCTTCATTCATATGGTACTTATCAACTTATTTGAGAAGAAAATGCCTAATCACATAATCTAATAATTACTAGTATTAACAATAATCAGGAAAGCATACTTTCATTAGGACTCTGCCTTTAGTGAGTTGGATTATTTCAGCTTCTTTAGACCTCAGTTTCCTCATCTATAAACACGGGAATCAGATGATCACTTATGTCCTTTCCAGTTTTGATCACAGAATTAAATGAATGATGTTGTATCGGTAGCAATCACAAACTTTAATCAGGATAGTGAAGCATATGGGTCATTGCCAATTAAGTATCTTAACCTAACAGAGCAAGCAACATTATACAAGTTGTTTTTTATTTGATAGAATAACCCTTTCCATCCCCATTGTTCTCATTCCTTCTTTCATAAAAAAATTTTATTATTGGCATGCCTTAATAATGTGCTGGGAAATAATTAATTCATATTACCAGAGATGGTTTCTGTTTTACGGTCTGTCTTTAAAACAAAAGAGAACACAGACTTACACATGAAAATTTCACAATACCAAGTTAGGTTTTTAGGATTTTTTCTTCTTTTTCACCCCAACAGACAAAAAGACTAGTAAGTCACACACAGTTGGCATTCACCCCAGCTCAAAATTATCAAAAAAAAAAAAAAAAAAATCCTGCACTAACAATTTATATGGCTGATTTCAGACTTGTCAGTTTCTAGAATTTTCAGAGAGGGAAAGCATTAATCTTCAATATGGAGTTGGCTTGGTGCTCGGCATTTTGTTAGCAGCTAAGGGAAACACAAACAAAGGGAGATACAAAAACTGCCATCCAGAAAGTCACCACCTAGCTGGGAAAGCATACAGGAGCTAGTTTCATAATTGTACAAGACACTATGCTGTTCAGTGTCCAAAGGCATGTCACCATCATTAAGTACTAGATAATTAGGAAAAAATAAGACCCCAAAGTGCTGAAGCAGTCAGGGAAGAAATTTACAGATAGATAAGCAACAACAGTGAGCAACCTTCATAGGTACTAGACGTTCTAAGCAGCATATTTCAAAGAAGAGCTCTTTAAACCTCGTAACAACCTACTAGGAGAGGCACAAATATTGTCTTCATTTCAGACACGGAAATTGAGAGGTAGTGCTATCAACTAATTCACTCAGGACTGCATAGCTAGTTATGGCCAAGCTAGGATCGAGTAGTACACATCTGATGCAGGAATAGAGGAAGCTGGACCTGAACTAGATGCTCAAAGAGAGGGAAGCCTTGGGGAAGAAGAGGGACATGGCAGGAATGTACTGCGAAGAGAAAAGAGTGGACATAAAAACCCAAGAAGAGGAATGAAGAGCCTTCCATCTCTAGCCCTGAGAAAAGACACCAAGTTCGACATGGTAGGTAAAGCGTGGCTCTAAAGAGGCTGGACAGTCTGCCCTGAAGTATTTTCTTGCTAATTTCCACACAAACTAGAAGGTTCAAGACAGTGGAAAAGTTCAGGTACACTCTAAAAATGTAAGAAGCTTTTAGCCTCAATTCTCCTCTGTGTGTAGTTGGATAGAAAAAGTGTTTGGAGTTGTTATAATTTTGATAAGCACCTTAATTTTCTTGTTTTAAAATTAAGATATTAAAAAGCAAAATTAATGACAAAAGACCTTCCCTTTCACATTCTCCAAGTCCAAGTTAGGCTGTACCCATCTGGCCTCTGTGAGGAATGCTTCATGGTATACTTCTCTTGATGGTAAAGCTAGTTTATGCTTGTTAACTCAAAGCTTCATCACAAAATACTTAAACAACTGGCAAGAAGAAGGGGAGGGAGAAAAGGTCATTAAAAGCACATTTGAGTGCTTTCTGAATAGTGTTCCATAACTATTTGTAGATAAAACTCACAAAACACAGCACGTCAGAAACTTCTATAAGGTGTATTTTCCTGTTTCATGTATACCCTCTGGAATCACAGAATTACACTTTTTCCAAGAAAAAGACAAAGCAATTTACAGACTATTATCTATTCCAGTACATAGTCTAAAGGTGCTCTTACCTCACAGTTGCTGAGATCAAGAGAAACTCCCTTCAAGTTATGATTAGAAGCCAGGCCCAGTAACAGCGCTCTGGGAAGAGGAAACACACACGTTAGATAAAAATCCCACACATTGCTCTAAAAATCTGTAAGCACACTGAACAAAGCCCAGAGAAAGAAGGACTTCTCTGAATCATAACGAGTCAAGCGCCAGGCACCATCTCACTTTTCAAAATGCCAACTGCATGTCCACCGACAGCCCTGATAAAAATGACACAGTCACATTCTTCCGTCTGACAAGGAGCAGGTCCCTTATAAATGCAAAACCTGATAGAATTGCTATTCATCCCTATGCAAATAAGCCAACAGTGCTCCTAATTGTACACTGAAATTAAATTGTGTTCATCACAGATAAATTTCCCCCTGCATCTGCTTGAGAGCACCTTTAATTATGTTTAGAATATTCGCAGGCAATTGTTATTAGAATAGCAAAGTGAAGCTCGGTTTCCCTAAGTGTTATGTTCATGGGGAAGGCAGGCGCTACAGTATTCCAGAATGTGACCGGTGGGATGGGTAAGGGTGTAAAGGCATGATAAGGTACAAACCTTGAGTTTGAGAACGAGATCCTGTCTGTCTATTCTACTAGCGGGTCACAGGATAAACCCCATTGCCACTCTGCAAAAGAATTTTCTTACTTGCTTATGGAGGAGACTGGACATATTCTGTGGATCTCATAAGTAAGAGGATGAATTGACTCCACTTTCACAAGTCAGTTCAATAAAATCCAACACCACTGAACAGGCTTGACAGAAAAATTTCACACATGCACCCACTTCCATTAATTACACCAAAAGCAGGAGAGACCCTCAACCAGGCCTGGTGAGGAGCATAAAGATGAGTATGAGACAGGTCCCACTCTCAAGCAAAGGAAACAAATGTGTGTGTGAATGACCATAATGCAAGGTGGACAGTCGTAAACGCTAGAGAGCATTTGCCACCTGGGGGTGACTAGAGAGCAGAACCACGGCAACTGCCACCTGGGGGGATGACTACCCGTTATCAGTGTTCCAGTGACTCAAAAACATCCCAGGGGAGGAGGAGGTGAGAAGGTAGGAGATTATTTCATGTGAGAATATCTGAGATTTTCCCCCTTTAGTGATTCTCTGGCCTCATCCTCCAAGAGAGAAAATTCCCAAGGTGGACAGAGCACAAGAACTTGGCTACTTCCAGCCGTGAAAACGACCCCTGTGGGTAAGAAGGCCGAAGGAAGTGCGTGTCTCTTTATTCCTTTAATCCAGTTCACTGTCCCTTCTTCTCAAACACTGTCCTATGAAAAAGGGCCGGGCACATCTCATCTGTGGGCATGCCTCTCTGTTCAATCACTTCTTCAAGTGTTTCTCGTTTCCTCAGAAGGAACTTATCTCCTGTTCTTGGGGGCGGTATTGAGACAGTGAAACCAAAAGGCCAGTCCTCAGGTCTCGACCCTATCACTAAGGTGGCCTGAAGGCATCACTTTTCCTTTCTGTGTCTCAGGTTCTCATCAGCAAACAGGAGAGTGAGGACAGTACCAAAGAGGTCCCTACAATTCTAAGTTTTAGGTTTCGAGGACTTAGCCACGTATTTTAACATTGTATTATTGTAATGTTGAGATGGAGGGGAAATTCTCCCTATTTCCGACATGTAGGTTAAGGCCAAGAAAATAAATGGTGTCCTTTAACATACTTCACTATGGAAGGCCACTGATTAAGAGGCAACGGCGCATGAGACGAGTGAAAATAAATAATTCACAGAAACGGTCCCTAGTAAAATGAAGCAAAAGAGAACAACTACAGCAAAGCATAGCAGGCACTGGGGAAAACTCTTATCACAAGGCGTGTTGTTTCTTTTAACCCAGTGTAAACTGCCTTTGTGGTTTGATCCTCTTGATCTTCAGTTATTAGTGCAAAACTGGTTAAGAGAAGAATTTGTATTTCATCTCCACAGCTCTGGATATGTGATACTAGTTATAATTTCGGAGTAGCACATCCCTCCATTTTAATGGCTTTATTGAGATCACTTGGCCAGGGCTACTGGGTGGGCAGAAGGGGGACCTCGTGGCAGGGAGGGAGGGTGATCCAGGGAAGAAGGGGCAAGGGAGAGGGTGTGAAAGATGATGTCTGAGCAGTAAATGGGGTGGGGGGTGGGGGGGAATGTTGGAGCAGGGACCAGGCTTGGGACACATAAGAACCACTCTGTTCCGGAGATTTTAGGAAACACTAAAGGAACAGCGTCATCCTCTTCTTTAAAACCCCTTAAAATACTGTAATGTGGATGGAAAACAGCCTCCAAGGAAAAACACAACTGTGAAAAAAAAGCAGTTACTCTCTTTGTATCGCTTTGGACAGATCTCAAATTAAGCGGGAAAGTTCTATAAAATATGGATATGTCCAAACTTAGTGTCACTCTCAAGAGAAGGGGCCTTACTTTACCTTCCTTATGGCTACTAATTCCCCATCCTGTAAGAAATGAGGGTCTCCCCCCCCACCCGGCTACACCCACCCAGGACACAGGGATGCGATGTGGTTTAGGAACGGGCTTGAGCCAGTGGGTGCTCAGAGAGTAACTGCTTGTTTTCACAGTTGTGTTTTTCCTTGGACTCTGCAGAGTGGATTCTGCAGTGTTCCTGTCCAGAGCCCCCTTGATCATTGGTCCTCTATGCGAGCTGCCTCAGCTGCAGAAAAGTATCTCGCTCAAGGTCACATCTGCTTCCAAGAGCAGCCTGTATCCAAGGACTGATCAACACAGGGGTATAAAGGCCTAGCCCCCTCACCCAGCTCAGGGTCATTCTGACAACAAAGCTGCCGTCGGGCTGACTCACGGCTTCACGGTGACAGCCCCAGTTCCATCTCCCCTGTCTCATTCCACCTCCTTCCCGCCCGCCCTGCACCCCACAGGAGGGATTCCAAAATCATTTCCTAATAAAATCTACAGGTGAATTCTCATCTCGAACTCTGCTTCCCATAAAACCCAACCTGTGACAGTGAGTTTGACAAAGAACTTGGCTCCTCTGAGCTTCAATTTCCTCAGCTGTTAAAACAGGGACAACGACACCTTCCCACGGCTGCTGTCAACACAGCAGGTGACGGTTTGTGGAGATGCATCCAGTTCTGCGTCCAGCTTAGGGCAGTATTTTGCAAGTTCCCTTCCATCCTCACCCTCTCACAGGTAAACCCAAGCACCTCTTTCCAAATTATAGTTTCACATTAAATGCACATGTGAAATTTTGTTTATAGAATCTTCAGCCATGAAGCCTTTTCCTTATGTTAAAAATTTTACAGGGTAAAACACAGACCTGAAGAGACCATAAGCATACCTCATCATAATGCACTTCACAGATACTGCTTTTTTTTTTTTTTTAAACAAATTGGAGGTTTGCAGCAATTCTGTGTCAAGACAATCTACTGGTGCCATTTTTTTAAACAGCATTTGCTTGCTGCTCGCCTCTGTGTCCCATTCTCGCAATATTTCAATCCTTCCACCAGCAAAAAGATTACAGCTCACTGAAGGCTCAGATGATAGCTAGCCTTTTTTAGCAATAAAGTGTTTCTTATTTATGATATGGACATTTTTTGGACATAATGCTACTGCACACTTAATAAACCACAGTATAGTATGAACATAACTTTTATATGCACCAGAAAACTCAAAAATTCATGTGACTCACTTTACTGTAATAGTCACCTTATTGCAGGAATCTGGAACCAATCCTGCAGTATCTCTGAGGTCTGCCTGTACTGATTTATTATTAAACATTCACATAAAAAATAAGAGGTCACAAGATTTAACACTGACAAAATAACTTTTAAATATAAATGTTTATAAGCCTATATCTATAATAAAGTACAAGTAAATTCATGTTCTTGTGGTGAGGATTATTCTATAAAATCAATTGCCCTGATCAATGAAGAACTACTCTATATTCTACAGGGCCAAAAACATTGAAAGAATTAGGATGCACCTAATTACCATGCACCTATCACTAAAACCACTTTGAATATGCTAACTTCATGCTGATATGATAAGATAATATCAAATCTGGTTATGCTTTCTACTAAGTGCCCCCTGGTACGAAGTCCATTATAAATGCTCGATAAATATCAATCAAATGAGTAAGTGTGTTTAAGTTATAAGGGATTCCCCTTCAGAATATTGATTCTCATAGCTTTATTCATATCCACACAAACAGTCTAATCATATGGTCTTTTACTATTTGCAGCTGTTATATTTAGAGATCTCTAATATACAGATTCCATTTTTTTCTGGGTTTTTTTGTTTGTTTTTTAAAGACCAGGGAGAAGGGTAGTGGGAAAGGATAGTTGGGAGTTTGGGATGGACATGTACACACTGCTATTTTTAAAATGGATAACCAACAAGGATCTATTGTATGGCACATGGAACTTTGCTCAATGTAATGTGGCAGCCTGGATGGGAGGGGAGTTTGCGGGAGAATAGAAAAATGTATATGTATGGCTGAGTCCCTTTGCTATCCACCTGAAACTGCTACCACAACATTGTTAATCGACTATACCCCTAACACAAAACAAAAAGTTTAAAAATTTTTTTAACTTTTCCAAAGGCCTGCTATAACATCAGAATTTCGTTTTTAGCAACTCTTTCTCAAGCCCTCTGTTGTTTTAGTCACACAGCTCTTTGCAGAATACTGTGATCAAGAATTTCACAGCTCTCAAAAAGACAACTTACAAATTAATTTGACAAAATTTTTCAGTAAAATGAATAGCAGACATTGATTTTAACATTTCACACAAATTACAGGGGGAAACTGAATGCTGATTTACATGTTAGGTGGGGAAAGAAGAAATCTGTTTGCACATTTGAACATAACTGATAATATAGGTATTCATAACTAAAATTGAAAATATGTTCAAAGAGAAATTGGATTTTACAGCCCTTTTCATTATTTCTAGCAATGGTGAACAGAAATTCAGGGATAACAAATTATTCTAAAAGGTTCAGTTTCACTGCTACTCCTCCACTGGGGCTATTCATCCATAACATAAGTTGCCCGCCAAGTAAAAATACCCAAACAGACAGATACCCAGGTAATTAGAAAGCAATGCACCTAAAAACTGGTTCTGTTGCACACACAAGCATATATAGTTTGATTATTACTGTTAGTAGAAATATTTAGAATTCACACAAGAGTCTACATAAGATGGCCTGAACAGAGGTCAGTATAAAGGCAATGGTACCCAGCAGCACAACTTTTATAGATCAGTGACCAATGCCAAGGTCGCAAACCAAAGGAAGATTTTTTTCCCCTAGAAGATGCAATAATATCAATAGCACACAATGTGCTTGAAAAGAATTTGATTTCCTTTGTGACCCAAAGTAAAACGCATTTTCATCTGCCTTGACTATCTTGGGATTGTATGTCTTTTTTCCCTTCCCTCAAATACATTCATAATAACAAACTGAACTTTAAAAGCTCTGGAGAAAATGAATTAAACACTCACTTTAAGGGCTCAGGAGACAGTTTTGTGCCTGAAAGGTTGATTTGCATCAGAGCCAGAGAACTACTAAAAAACTGCTTGAAAGACGGGGGTACTTCTTTTCCTTTCCTGAAAAACAAATCATGAGAGTCAGACACTTAAATTTCCATCTCCACAACCCACTTCTACATTGGCAAAATTATTCATTGGTAATTCAGACACTGTGAAATGATCCATGAATCAGTTGTATCCTCAGTAGAAATTTAAAAGTAAAAAGAAAAAAAAAGTCTGAAAGCAAATTCAGTATACTTTTTAAAATGGTGTAAGAGAGGTTAAGAAATCTCATTAAATTTTAAAACATTTTATTTCTATTCTTCATAGCCAAGGAACTCACTGAGTTCTATTTCTAGATCTCTAGGAAACTCCATATTTGAGTTTTTAGGAAATAAGTCAAAGAAGACACATATTTCTCACCAATTTAAAGAGCCTTCCCACTGGATGACATCAGATTGTTAAGGATTGCTACCTGTGTTTGGCAATATTTTCAAATGCAGGAGGTCTCAAGATGCACCAAGATTGAGACTGGAGGTCAAGTCTGATTGGCAAGAAGCCTGCATGACAAATATCCTACTCGGCTCTTATAGCATACCACAAATCTAATTATTTCAGGCCAAATATTAGAAAAAAGACAAAACTCCAAAAGGAAATGGCCATAACCTCCAAATATATCCCCTTGCTTGCTATTCCAAATGGGAAGTGGATCAAATCATACAACTCAACAAGAAGACAGAGTCAACACCACAACATGAGGGTTTAAGAAAAATGAAATTCCAGAGTCAAAATTGGAATATCAATGCTTAGCTTGTTTTGTTCCATCCAATAGAACTGTTGAAAGGATTAACTAAGTAAAGCACTTAGCCTAATGCACTGTCAACACTCATTTAATGATAGCTATTCATATTCTGTGAGGGAATCATACTATCTCAGGGTAGAAGCCATCCTAGAAATCTAGCTCAACCATGTCTTATTCAACAACATTTTATGCACAGAGGTCTAGGAAGCCTGTCAATATTTGAGAAAGGCTTTAAAACAGGGCAATTTCGGGCTATTTGAGAAGAAAATAGCTATTTTTCTGTTCTAAGCAGAAAGAATCTCTATTTGAGAGGATGAAAAATAAATTCAAGAAGAAAGAGAATTCTGGTAGAATACATACCAGACGTTTCAAACAACTCTGGTTTCAGATATCAGAAGGATATAAGCTTGAATACTCAGGTTCATTTTCTGATGAGCAAATGTTAATTTTTATTTGAACATAGTTTGTTTTCTGTTACATCATACTGGTATCGACTGTTCTAATGTTTCCAAATACTCACTGCCCCTTTCTGAAGGATGATGATCAGTCACCCCACAAATGGCAGGCTTAGCCACACCAGCCCCTCTGGTGAATGGGATGTGAGCAGAAGTGATGTGTGCAATTTCCAGAGAGTTGGTTTACCAGCCAGTGTGTGTGTTACCATCCTTCTTTCTCCTCTGCTATGTGACTGTCAATGTTCTAGGAAGAGGCTGCTCTGCCTCCCAGCATGAAGTTGATGCGGCCAGCCCATAATAGACATGTTGCAAGATCACAGTTGCAGAAAGCTATAGAGAGGGTGGTGAGTTGGGGGTAATCATTTGTTACTGGAACAACCTGACCTATCCTGACTGTTACACTTCTGAAATTATCCGTGAACCACAGTATGAACAGACTGGCTAACAATCTACAACTCAGTGCAAATGCAGCAATTTTGACGTAATTTACAGCAAATTTGACGCAAATTTACAGCAAATTTGACACTTCCTATGATTACATCTAGGTAAGGGAGTGGGTATTAAATAGTGGAATCACATCCTCTCATTTGGAAGACAAGGCAATTTGTTAGCACAGTTCCGCTCTACAAGCTTAATAGCTCTACTGACAACCAATCATCACAGAATTCACAGTATTATGAACTCAAAAGAGCTGATTAGATGAAGATCCTTATAGTCTATGATATCATTTCTAACCCAATTCCTCAGTCTATCATAGCTCCACCAAAGCATGGTTTCATGAGCTCTCTTCAAATACATGGGTTGACGGGGCGGTCAGCTTAATACCTTCTAAGGTCTTTGAAATACAGTATCTAAGAAAACTCTCAACTTCTCCCATTGTTTTATCTCCTACACTTTACACTTTCTGATCACATCTGGTTGAGGTACTTGTGGCATATTTTTGCTATCATAAAGATTTGCATCACTGTCAAAGTAAGGGACCACGAGTACTGTAAAATGTACAATAACTTATTTATGAGGCATAAATGTAGAAGAAAGCATGTTTAATTCTGATTTTTTCCAACAAAGTGACTATTATCCCTTGGAATATATAAAGCTTTAAAAGGTGAGCCAATAAAAGAGGAGACAATATTAGGCAGTCCTCCATGTTATTAAAGAGCATATCATGACTTAGATATTATGACTTATGGTAACAAATGCTGAGTGCTGAATTATATTAATACATTACATGATAGTAGAATACCAAACCTAAAATAACCCATGTACTTTTCATCATTCTTCTGCATTCTCCTGTTCTAAGCTGCTGCTTCTGCTGTGTGTGAATATCTGTTACTTCTAACCTACTGCCTGATTTGGCAAACAATCCTTCATCGTGAAGGTAGAAGTAAGGCACTGAGGCTGGCCCTCCACTTCCACAAATCAGAATACAAGAGCTCTGGGCCAACTATTCTCTTTGCCTCCCAGACACAGCTGAGACTTACTTCAAAGTGTATTATTGAGAAACACCTTCAGACATTTCCAAAAGGATTTTTACTGTATTAAGAGAGAATGCCTGTCCACATACGAGAAATGGCACATTTCTATAGAGTTCATATAAGCAAGCTGGAGTTCTTGATAAGAACCTTGTCATGCAGGAAGAAAAGACATAACAAAAATTTGAGCTTGCAAGGTCTACTATTCATCAATAATGGTTTAGGACCATCTCCTCTTTCACATACAACATGCACCTTTTATTACTGTTTTCATCTTACTACAGTGTTCTCTGAGAGAAAGACACTCCTAAAAGATGACAATAATAGCAGGAATGACTTCATACCGGTGAGAAAACACAGTTCTGGAGAGATTGAGCACAGCTAAATATTGAAGGCAGCCACGCAGAAGAGCTCCACAGACCTGGGAAAGAAACAAGGCACTCTTATTTTCAAATATCTCTAAGACTAAGAGAATATTTTATTGCGGAGAAAGCCCATTGTTTCCCATCTAAATAGCTGTTCCGAGACCCCTTGAGCAATATAAAAAAAATATTACCATGTCCAGGGAACATTCAGTATTGGATAAATCCAGATGAGCAATCGCATTTGGCTGGGCCAAAAAACTGTACATGGACTTGAAATAAAAAATAAAAACCAAATATATTAGGATCCAGAAAACACACGCACACAGGCACATGCCCACACACAATGCAAGTTAATATTTTAAATAAAGTTGCCCCCAAACCACCCAGGATCATTCTTCACTCTTCCCAAGAGGATCAGCAGAATTTTCTGTCATTCTGTTACCTTCCCTGAGAGCAAAAATCCAAAGAATATTTTAAATTATATTTAAGTTTTTTAAAAAAGGCCAAATGAAGCCTTGGCTACCAAACCCCCTTTTTGCTACATATGACTTAGTTTTTCTGATTAGCTCTATTTTTATTATATTATTTTGGGAGCAAACTAATTAATTTTACTGTTGAGAAAGAAATACCACCTGAATTGCAGCCACCCTATCAAAATACTAACGACTTTTGAAAGTGTTCAAGAGCCACTAATTTGAATTTGAAACAAAGGGTGGCAGTTTCAGAATACATATTCTCTCTTTGGGTCAACAAAATAATTTTTCTATCCTTAGTTACCTCCAAAATCTAACAAGAAAGTGCATGACAACACTATTAGTTGTTTTTTTTTTTTGGGGGGGGGGGCTTNGTCCCCGTACAAGGCTATCAAAACAATAAAATTAATAATTCTGTTATTCTCTAATTGCCTATGTGTGTGGCAACTGCCAACAGCCACCAATAGCAAACCAAATCCAAGCTCCTGCCATCAGGCAAATGGCTAAACCCTGCTTTGCTTCAGTGGATGCCTCGAGACACTTGAAAAAACAAACAAGCTTACATTGAGACGTCCTAGTCCTTGGCAAAGATGCATGAGTGTAGCAACTTAGCTCTAGATACTTGAGAAAATTCCTCTCTACTAAGGAATTCAGAAGAGCAACAGGCTGGACTATAAGTATTTCAGAATAATCAGACACAGAGAATGTCCTGTATTATGAAAGTTCTGATTCAGAAAAATCATTTTTTTCTTCTCACTTAACGAAGATCCGATTCTCTTTGCCTGGCACTGTGATTTTACTCCTGGCCACCAGCTGGGGGAGCTCTAACCACCCTCAAGTGGTGGCAAGACCCTACTCGGCCAACACCTCCAGCAGGCCCTGCTAGGCTGGGCTGTCCGTCGAAGCACCAGCTGAGTGGCTCTCAGAACCTCAGCATGTAGGGGCTAGAAGCCCACTGCCACTCAGGCCTCATCACTCCACTTGCCCTCCCCGAGAAGCCCAGCTGCGATAGGACTCCCAGCCAGCTCCTAGGCTGGCTGAGGAGACTGTGAACGCCCCTGTGTTAGCAGCCTCCCCGTTTCATCTTCAGGCTCTACTTTAATTTTCCTCTCGATTCTGCTACTGTGCCACTGTAATGTTTTGGTGGTTTCACATCAGACCCCTGGTTTCACGTTTGGGAGGGAGCAGATTTATGAATAGTCAGGGAAAGGCACAACTCAGGTTGGACAACACACTGAACAAGTCATGGCAACCAGGAAGCAAGTATTATGTAAATGAGTTCAAGTGTAAGGCAGAGCAAATAACTACAAAAAGGACTGTGGCAACATTCCCTGTCTTACGAGGAAAGCAAAACAGAAGAGAAACAGGAATATAGGTCACAGTGTTTTTCACTCCCATAAAGCAATGAGGTGTAAATCAAGGTCCTTTGAAGAGGTCCAGGTACTATAGGCCCCCTTAATAAAGGAGCACTTATTCTAAATTCTATCCTGGTGACCAGAGGGAAGGGGGCCATTCCCCCCATCTGACAGTGAGATGATTCCCAATGAGATGTAAATCAAGATCCTTTGAAGAGGTCCGGGTACTATGCTGCTGCTGCTGCTGAGTCGCTTCAGTCGTGTCCGACTCTGTGTGACCCCATAGACAGCAGCCCACCAGGCTCCCCCGTCCCTGGGATTCTCCAAGTATGATAGGCCCCCTTAATAAAGGAGCATTTATTCTAAATTCTATCCTGGTGACCAGAGGAAAGGGGACCATTCCGCCCATCTGACAGTGAGATGATTACCAATTCACTCTATCAACAAGATCTGCCAAACATTGATATTACTGATTCAGCAGCATGAAAAACCTTGTTATTATTAAAGGGAAACTTTTCCCCTCACACTCAAACTTTCAAGAGTAACCCCGGTTTGACCCCTAACCCTTCCCTTCTTTATTGTATTCATTCATCCCAATATCCTTTTCCATCACAAACTATGTTTTTAAAAGCCACCGGTCTTCCTAACAATATTATTCAATGATAAATTAATTCACTTTACACCTCTAATCTTTCTTAGCAGGCAATTTTAACAGGTGCAACAATGCTTTGAAAGGTAGAAAAAATTTCTTCAGACTAAGTATTTACAGAAAGAATTTAAACCTCAAAAACCTTAAGTGAGAGAAGGAAAAAAAAATCTACGAGATAGATTACATTTAATGAAGGCAGGCTCTGAATATTTCTCTAAAACACTTATAAGCTCATAACTAAATGATTTTAAGATGTCATGATAAAAGGAGACGTGGGAAAATACATTACAAAGCCCTGTTGAGAAATTATTCCAGGCTTATTCAGTACAGCTTCATGGAAGATGGTAGTAAGGGAAAGAAAACCTACCGAGAGGTCATCTCCGCGAAGGATGTTCCCTGAGAGGTCCAGATGGACGAGGGTGGTGGCGGTCAAAGGGTTGGCACTCAGTGACTGAGAAAGGCTATTCACCCCTGCAACAATGACAAGACACAGCTTAGTTTCCATTCCAAGAACCAAAATGAGTTCTGTGATTTTCTTTAAAGGGTCCGACAGCCCCATCAACATGCAGGGCTGAGGTTAACCATAAGGACCATTCCCAAAAGGTAGCTTGAGGTTGGTCTTCTGACATCTTCTCAAGAAGAACAGGTTAGTCAGTCACAGACAATCAACTCCCTGAGGAGAATGAAATGGAGTCAGCTTCTTTCTGCTCCACTTCTAATGGTGTGGAGGGAAATTTTACTCTGAAGTCTTAGAATGATGCAAACAATCTAATTGATCATTTTTATTCCTTTCTTAACCCTGCCAGGTGATTCTTGCCTTATTGTACAGTATTAACAGGATGCAGATTCAGAGTCAGATACTTTAGACTACTGAAAGTATGTGGAAGTTAATACAGGAATCTACTGCTCTGCTTAATGCATTATATTCAAGGCAAAATTTAGATTGAAACACACTTTACAAAAAGAAAATGCTCTGTACACAAAGGAACAAGCCATCAAAGGGAAAAACTGATAATTATCACTCTACACACTATTTATATACAATAACATAAATGACTCAAGTCAACTCTAACATAAGTGGTTCAAGCTAATATCACCTCAAAAAAAAAAAAAAAAAAACTGACTATATCAGGAGGCAAGATTGCTCTGCAAAGAGAGAGGTATGGTCTACTATCTCTGGGTAATAGGAACTGAAACAGGTCTGTTAGCACCTTGTGGTAGGTAGATTTTCATCAGGACACTTCAAAATGTGAGCCCAGAAAGGACTAGTCCCTCCCTAATATTTAAAGAGGTCAATACACACAATTATCACTGATGATTATTCTTCAGATAATAGGCATGTGGGATATTGCAATGCTTTTTCTGTTTCTACTGCAAGTCCATTGTTCTAAACTGTGTATTTTGGAAATAAAACTATTTCTAAATTGGGTATACTATCATAAATCATTTTGTTTTTCTTTCTCACTAAAATTCTTCTTGAAAATCCCAGGCTGTCTTAGCCACCTAAAATAGGGGATGGGGTTTTTGTCCAGACATGGATAATTTCTTCATCAGATAAGGGGCAAGGGTCAGGCCCAAACTGGTCATGACTGCAGAACCCCAAGAGGCACTTTAAGAAAAAAGGAAAAAAAGTGAGCATTACAACTACGGCCCCACATGAGAACAGTTCTCTGCTCCAAGTTTAGAATGTGTAGCACTGATGAAGAGGTTATCTTCTTATCCTTCAGCTTTGGAGAGGTACAAAGAACCAACTCCAGTGTGTGTCTGATAAAGCCTACGGAGCCATTTCTGACGGTGAGTGTGCATCTGGGTTTGTATAGAGAAGACTTCAAGGCGCAGAGGGGAAAATATTTTACTAAAGTACATGGAAGAATTTCTTGGCCCATCAACTCAGCATTTATTAAGTGCTCATAACATGTTTATAATATGCTGGGGATTAGGAGGTATGGGTAAATAAGACCCATTCTTTGCCCTCAGAAAATTCAAAAACCATCAGGAAAGAAGCTAAATAAATTCCAGGATGAAAAGCCAGTGATACACAAGGATTTATTCAATGCAACAAATCTTTATTTAAAGGCTACTGTATAGAAGACATGGGCTTTTGAGACCCAGAGAATAATATTTTACCCTCTCAAAGGCCATCCAGTGGGAAACAAAGACAGTTGAATAATCACAATTTAGTGAGGTCAATGCTATCAAGGCTGTATATTGTCACCCTACTTATTTAAATTATAAGCAGAGTTCAGTTCAGTTGCTCAGTCATGTCCAACTCTTTGCAACCCCATGAACCGCAGCACACCAGGCCTCCAGGTCCATCACCAACTCCTGGAGTTCACCCAAACCCATGTCCATTGAGTCCGTGATGTCATCCAACCATCTCATTCTCTGTTGTCCCCTTCTCCTGCCCTCAATCTTTCCCAGCATCAGGGTCTTTTCCAGTGAGTCAACTCTTCACATCAGGTGGCCAAAGTATTGAAGTTTCAGTTTCAGCATCAGTCCTTCCAGTGAATATTCAAGACTGATCTCCTTTAGGATGGACTGGTTGGATTTTCTTGCAGTCCAAGGGACTCTCACTGGGACTGCAAGGAGATCAAACCAGTCAATCCTAAAGGAAATCAGTCCTGAATATTCATTGGAAGGACTGATGCTGAAGCTTCAATACTTTGGCCACCTGATGCAAAGAACTGACTCACTGGAAAAGACCCTGAAGGCAGGAGGAGAAGAGGACGACAGAGGATGAGATAGTTGGAGGGCATCACCAACTCAATGGACATGAGTTTGAGCAAAGTCTGGGAGTTGGTAATGAATAGGGAAGCCTGGTGTGCTGCAGACTATGTGGTCGCAAAGAGTTAGACATGACTGAGCGACTGGACTGAACTGAATACTATCAAAGAGGTAAGAGCCAAGGGCTTGGCAGTGAAGGAAGTGGAGATTTGACAATGTTAGACAAAAGGAACTTGCGATAGCCTATAGAAAAGGTTGATTTATGGAGGTAACTTCTATGATTGTTCAAATGACCAGCTTTCTTCAATTTGTCTGCTACTGGTAGTATCAATGTATTTTGTACTGGCATAATTGAGTCCAAAACATTTGGAAAACACCAGACTTTCATCAAGAAAATCATTTTTAAAATTATGTCCTTAGTGAGGTATAACAAAACTCAGTAAATAAATTCTGAAATTAGAAGGTGAAATTAGTTTTGACAGCAAAACACTCCTTGACAAATATGGGTGCTTGGCAGTTGGCCAATGTCTGATTAGAACTGGGAGAGAATTGTGTTATCAGCTCAGCTTCAAGCTACTGAGACAGAATGAAGGATTTCCTCCCCTACCTCTTGAGCCCATTCCACATAAGGCCTGGCTTAATAAGCACAGTAATGGCAGGAAATTACAAAAATATAGGATGGAAAGAATCAGGGCACTTCCAACCTAAACTACACACAGATTTTCACGCTATTCTCAATTCTGGCTATCTAGTGATTTTGACCATTCTTCATATTTATTATTGGAGTGTTTACAGCTGGAAAAAGGTGGTACCAGATGGCCCTGCACTGACATAATCTGGCAACCAGCAGGACATTTACTAGAAATCCAGAAAACTATCACTTAGCTCACATCGAGGAAGAGAAAGGATATTTGGACACAGTGTGGATGTCATGAGGAGATTTAAAAAAAAAAAAATCTGCTTTGAATTATGGAGCCATGAATATAAATGTTTTCATAGAAATAAAATATGTTAGTCAAATTCGGCAAAAGTTTGAAAGTGCAATTTAATCTGAGTTATTTTAAATCCACAGACCTTTCAGATCCTTTGTGACAGTCTGCAAGAATACTGAAAACCTTTAAGAAATCAATTTTTTAAAAGGCAACATTTCAAGATATACATCCTAGGAAGGATGACTTAAAATTCTTTGGGTTACATATTATAAAACAATATGAATTCTCAAACAAATTTTATTGCAGAAAAAAGATAAAGGTATGGATCCTCATTTGTAAAGGGTGGAGGGCACATGGGGCTGTCTTGATTGAGAGGAAGCTGAAGAACCTGCCCGCTCCCATCACTGGGAGGGACAGGGCATCAACCCAAGCTTGTGCTCAGAAGGATCAAAGATTGTTACATCCCTCTATCCATCTCATATTAATAATAATTAACAAATATGTTAAATACCGAGGTTTTAAAATAAAAAAACCTCTACCTTAAAAAAGAAGCACATGATAAATGATTTTACAAGAAAAAAATTACAGTTTAAATAGAAGAGTAACAAAGGAGGGGACCTAGCAATTTCCTCCAAAAGAAATATAGCTGACTAAGGAACAAGGGGGAAAAGCCACCTAAGCAATAACTGAAGAAACTAAAATTAAAATACCAGAACACTTTTGTTCATATGCTTGATAAACAATAAAAGAAAGAGAATAATACCCACTGATATACAAAATACTTGGAGGACAAACTTAACAATACATATCAGAGAGAGCTTTTTAAAAATTGGACAAACACTGATCTCTACTTACAAGAATTTTATCCTAAAGAAGAAATTAACTCATGACTGGTGATTAGATATAGATGTCACGATAGGGTGTTCTGCACTATTGAAGAATTTAAAATGGCCTAAATGTACAATATTAGATTATGTACATAAGTGAGGGGACATTTTGCATACACTGGGCAGTCACATAGCACTGAAACTGACCAAGTGTTTACTGACACAAATGATCACAATTACTATTGGGGGATAGGAAAAAACTTTACAAAACAGTAATCAATCACATATATACATATGTGGGTTTTTGTAGGTATTTATATTAAAAAAAAGACAGACAGAAAACAGTGAGGAAAAAAAGAGCACCAAAGTGTCAACAGTGACAATTGTGTAATGACTTGGTACTAGTATTGCAAGTAGTTTTTGCTTTCTTAGTTATACTTTTCAGAATCTTCTAAGTCTTTACCATAAATATGTAATGCACTGATAATCATCAGGAAAAGGGTTTTTATAAAACTGATTTGCTGATGTAGAACACTGAGAACAGAAACTACATCTTAGCTTTTAGATCTGCAGATGGCTTTAGGCATCAGGTCAGAAAACACTGGCTCCTGGTGAATTGTTTCCCTTTGGAAAGTTACTTTTGTCCCTTCATCTTAAACATGTGGATACAATCATGGCATGAATGGAACTCTCCCCAATTTCAAATCACTCAGTGTGACTGCACAGTCGGAATAAAGTAGGAATGGATGGATAGAAAACCATTCCAGGACCACTTTGCTTTACCCACTCACCCATGACACAGTCAGTGAGAACCTGCAGCGCCTGATGCCAGAGACACGGCAATGAAGAACACAACACCCTTGCCAGCTAGAACCTTCCAGGCTAGGACACAACGAAAACACAGTGGGAAATACGCTTAAGTGGAGGGATTCACAAAGGCCTATGGAATGCAGAGAAAGGGGCATCTAGTTCTGCAGGGGGTGGTGAGAGGAGGTTGTCTGAGAAGGACTTCAGAGAGAAAAGGAGATAGAAGCTGAATCTTCCAGGAGGGGCACTAATTCACCAGATTTGTGGGTGGGGACACTGAGGGTGTCCTGGGCAAAATAGGAACCTATAAAAATGCATGATGGAAAAACACTATATGATGGAAGGGAGGGAGGAAAGAGAAGGGAGGGAAGGAGGAAGATGATGGCAGCAGGGAGAACATGGCACGCTGTGCCAAAAATGACACTGTGCGTTTGAACCCATTTAATCCCACCACCCGTGACGAAGTAGAGACTCAAATTTCCATATTATAAATGAGGTTGCTAAGGAACCAAAGGACTGAGATGTATTCATATATTTGTAGTAAGTAAAAATGTTAGGACTCAAGCCTAGACGATCTGCTGGAGAACTGGCAATCACTACACATATTGCCCTCAAAAGACAGTGGCAAATTACTCAAGAAACTTTTCATTTAACACCCACACTGCATGGGTAGCACCACTCTCTCAGGTGTTGGACAGATGGAGATAAGAAACACACACGTGTGGCAAAGAGAGCCCCCTTCTCATAGGGCAAACACGAAATTCACACAATGATGTGTGATCTAGAAGTGACATAAAGGAAACAGTAAGTGATTCTGTCAAAGCCTCAGGAATAGGGAAGACATCCCAGAAGAGATGACCACAGATGAGGGTTTTATAAAATATACTGAAGCTCTCTAAAAATATTTGGAGATGTGTGGCATAAGAGAAAATATGTATTGGTTTCTGCCCCTCTTGCTGGTTCCTGGCACAGAGCTCCTCAAATCCTTGTAATTTCCTAGGCAATAAGAACACTAGAAACATCCCTTGTTCTGATATTTGTCTTTGACCCTGACTCAGGGCTCCTAAAACTCCTATAAATTCTTAAGTGATAAGAGCAGTAGGAGCATCTTTTGTTCTAATGCAGCAACTCTGGGTGGGCTCCTGGATGAGGACGGGTCATCAGAAAGCCCAAGCCACAATGACAAGCTTGGAATTTCATCCCCACTCCCACCCACCAACACTTCTGCAGAAAGGGGAGAAGGCCTGGAAATGCAGTTAATAACTGATCATGCCTACATGGCAAGGCCTCCATAAACATACCATGGGCTCTGGAGAGCTTCTGAGAGCTTCCAGGTTGATGAACACAACCACACATGGAGGGTGAGATGCCCCAAATCCACAGGAACAGAAGTTCCTGTGCTTGGCACCCTCCCAGTCCTCACCCTGTGGATCTCTTCTTCTGGCTGTTCATCATCTGAATCCTTTGCCATAATCCTTAATAAACTAGTCAGTGTAATAAGCGTTTCCCTGAGTTCTGCGAACCACTCTAGCAAATTAATCAAATTCAAGGAGGGAGACTTCAGAACCTCTGATAACCTGGACTTGTCACTAGGCCTGTAAATGGCATGGCCGGGGAGGAGGGTGTTGGGGGCACAACAGTCTCGTGGGACCGAGTCCTTAACTTGTGGGATCTGACGTCATCTCTAGGTAGATACTGAGCTGAATTACAGGATACCCAGCTGGTGTCGCAGAGAGCTGCCTGGTATGTTGGGGGGAAACGTCCACATATCTGGTGACCAGAAATATCAGAAGTGACATGTCTTGTGTGAGTAGTAAAGAAGACACACAGATAAACACAGAAGGAAGAATGGAGATTTTCCCAATACAAGATGAAATAAAAACTTTTCAAGCATGTACAAAAAGGTGTGATGTATGCAGGAAGATTTCAATTATTAGTAGTAGTATTATAAAGTTGATGACATAGCAAAATAAGAACAGAACTGAAAATGTTAGGATGGTGAGTGGAGTCAGGAAAGAAGCTGGGGAAAGCAAGGCAACTTCCAAGACAGGAAATAGAGCGGGTACAGCAAGAGTGATGACTGTGATAGCAGTTAGGCCCAACGGTTTTCTGTACAGCAGACAGTCCATCTGACAGGTTTATGTGTGTGTTGGGGTGGGGGTGGGGGGGGGTGTGATAGCAAAGAAGTCTTTCCAAGGATGAACCAAGAAAAACACAACCAGTAGTAATCACTTGGTAAGATACAGAATCAATGCAAAGAAATAGAGGAAAACAATAGAATGGGAAAGACTAGGGATCTTTTCAAGAAAATTAGAGATACCAGGGGAACATTTCATGCAAAGATGGGCTCAATAAAGGGACAGAAGTGGTAGGCACCTAACAGAAGCAGAAGATATTAAGCACAGGTGGCAAGAACACACAGAAGAGCTGCACAAAAGAGGCCTTCACGACCCAGATGCTCACGGCGGCGTGATCACTCGCCTAGGTCCAGACACCCTGGAATGCGAAGTCAAGTGGGCCTTAGGAAGCATCACTATGGACAAAGCCAGTGGAGGGGATGGAATTCCAGTTCAGCTATTTCAAATCCTGAAAGATGATGCTGTGAATATGGTGCACTCAATATGCCAGCAAATGTGGAAAACTCGGCAGTGGCCACAGGACTGGAAAAGGTCAGTTTTCATTCCAATGCCAAAGAATGCTCAAACTACTGCACAATTGCACTCATCTCACATGCTAGCAAAGCAATGCTCAAAATTCTCCAAGCCAGGCTTCAACAGTACATGAACCATGAGTTTCCAGATATTCAAGTTGGATTTAGAAAAGGCAGAGGACCCAGACAGAAATCAAATTGCCAACATCCATTGGATCATAGAAAAAGCAAGAGAATTCCAGAAAAACATCTACCTCTGCTTTATTGATTACGCCAAAGCCTTTGACTGTGTAGATCACAACCAACTGTGGAAAATTCTNATTGGAAGGACTGATGCTGAAGCTGAAACTCCAATGTTTTGGCCACCTGATGTAAAGAACTGACTTGCTAGCAAAGACCCTGATGCTGGTAAAGATTGAAGGCAGGAGGAGAAGGGAACGACAGAGGATGAGATGGTTGGAGGCCATCATTAACTCAATGGACATAAGTTTGAGCAAGCTCTGGGAGTTGGTGATGGACAGGGAAACCTGACATGCTATAGTCCATGGGGTTTCAAAAAGTTGGACACGACTGAGCAACTGAACTGAACATACAGAAATATCAAATCACAATCTTAGGCTCTTGGAACAGAGTATTGTAAGTCAACTATACTTCATTAAAAAAAAATCGCTAAATCAAAAACAAAACAACAAGAACACAACACAACCAGCTGCCTTTAGGAACGGGAGGCACGAGGCTGCCAGGTGAATGTTCCTTGACTCAAAGTTAAAAAAGTTGAAGACTGCATGGTGGACATTCAGATTATTCTCCATACTGAAAGCATTTCTCTTTAGAACACCAGAATTTCAATCAGATAACTTCTTTACATTAAAACTGCCAGAGTGTTATAACACACATACAGTGAACCACTGAACGACACGGGGATTAAATTGCACATAACTAATCGCCAGCTCTCCGTATCCACAGATCCTCCATTTCTGCAGATTGAACTAACCGTGGATTATGCAGTACTGTAGCATTTACTATGGAAAAATATCCACATGTAAGTGGATCCGGCAATTCAAACCATGTTGTTCAAGGATCAACTACATTATTAAAGGCAGATACATAACTGAGTAATAATTCTAACCATGTAAGGAAGCATGGGGCAGTAAATACATTATAGACACAAAGTTAAGTAAGTAAGATATACTGTACCTTTAGGTGACAATGAGGTCTTAGACAAATTTAAATGCTTTAACCCCTTTGGGAGTTTGGCAAATTGAATACTTAAAGAGGACACACCTGAGAAAGAAAGGAAAGAAAGGGATCGTTAGAATTTTTAAGTTGCCAGGACTGTATTTGTTTCACAATGCCTGAAAATGAAGTCTGATTCCAATTTAAGTGCCCATTTTTCCTAATGTTAATTGTTTTCTAATCATCTACTATCCCCTCTCCTTCACTTTCTCTCCTAGCTAGGGTAAGAGAAAGGCATAATAATTACCAAAACTTTACCATTAGAGGTACTTTTCTTTGGACAAAGTGTTAACCTCTCTTCATAGTGCTATTTCAAATGCAAATAGTCTTGGAAAGAGTGATATAATTTCCCCCCTTTCTTTTTAACCTGTGTCTTAATGAGTTGATCACTCTTCTGGGTGAGCGGATGCATACTATTTAATTATTGTCAAGAAACACAATGTGGCATTATTCAGATAACAGCTTTACTTTAAGCTGATGAATTTCAGTATTTAATTGGCGTACAGCTAACAACCTTAGACAAAGCATCAGAGGATGTTTTAACCTACCTTCCTGAAGGTAGGTTTGGTAACATAAAACAACTCCCAAGGAATTTACAGTATTAAAAATCAAGTGGTCTCTAAACTTAACAGTCAGAGTGTGAGATTGTGAAAACTCCCTCACTCACCTAAGGATTACAGTAAGTGGAGACTCTTTCCTGGGAGGAAGTAAGTAACAGATGAGCAATCAATGTATGTTCTACAGGACCTTCAACCAACCCCCTGCTTCACCTGACTTACGACCTCCTGAGAGGCATGTTTTGAGAAACATCCTAAAACAGTATTAACTGTAAGGTCCCATAGACTGGTTCTCAGACCCCAGGCACCGGTAAGGAGCTACTGTGCTAGCTGCTGCCTATCACATAACCCCCAATTAAATATAAATTTTATCAAGTAATAAGTACTACTCTAGAAATAAACTAAACATCATTCAGCTTGATTAAGCCTCTAGATGGGTGTTTCCCCAAGGATGGTAGGTACTGGGAGACCCTGCCTGTCTCCCACAGTATTTCCCAAACAAGTTTGACAATCACTGGATAAAGTACTGTTAAAAAGGCTTTTAAATTAAAAGTATGTCTAGAGATTTGAATATGCTAAACCATAGTGTTAACTGCAAAGAGGGGAGACATCTGATATTTAGTCAATACATTCTTGTGAAATGAATTGATTTAAATATTTTAAATTAAGACATCAAAATTTTGGTGTACAGTTCAAGCCATGCTTAGAGTGAAGTGTATACTCCTAAATACAGAAGTGAATAAAGAAGAACTGTAAACTAATTCTAAGTATCCATCTCATGATGTCTAAAAAGCAACAATAAATTAACCCCCATTTCATCTCCATAAACAGAAGGAAAGAAATAACAAAGGGAAGACCTCAATTAAATAGAAAGCAGTCATAAATAAATTTTGAAAGTATGTTCTTAAAAAATAAAAGCTAATAAAATTAATAAATCCCAGCAAGACTTTGAGAGAGAGAGAAAGAGAAGGATCAAAATATTAAAATCAGAAATGAAAACAGAACACCAGAAGAGATCCTACAGACATCACAAATGGAACAGAAGGGTATTAAAAAAAAAAAAAAGTCTACAGATCAAAAAATGTATCACTGTAGAAGAAATCCTTATGAAAAATACAACTTAGCAAAACTTACTTAAGAAATAACATCCCCTATCTAAGAAAATAATAAATCTATTATTAAAAAACCTCTCCACACGAAAAGCAAAAGAAGCCAAATATAAAAGAGTATGCATTGTATAATTCTATAGTGGTGAAGTTCCAGGCATAACAGAAGGCAGAATACACAGACAAGTTCATGAATTTTCATAATGTCCTATTTCTTGACCTTCATAGTGGTTGTGTGACAGCATTCCCTTCGGAAAAATTCACTAAGATCTAAACTTGGAATTTATGGACCTTTATGAATGTGCATTATACTTCACTGAATACAAGTTACTTCAGAAGACTTCGGTACAGAAGATAACAGACAAGGAAGTCTAGACGACTGGGTGGCAATGACTTGTTAGATACTACACTAAAGGCACAGTCCATGAAAGGTATCATCGATTAGTTGGACTTCATTAAAATTTAAAATTTCTGTATATTTAGCAAGGGGGAAGGGAGAGATAAATTGAGAGATCAGAATTGATACATACACACTGCCGTATGTTGGGTTGACCAAAAGTCCCTTTGGGTTTTTCCATAACATCTTACAGAAAAACCTGAACAAACTTTCTGACCAACCCAATAGAGAACAGATAACTATAGGAGAAATTAAGAAAGGACACCATCATGTGTAAAATGGATAACTAGCAGGAAGCTGCTATTTAACTCAGGGAGCCCAGCCTGGCATTCTGTGACAATCTAGAGGGGTGGAATGGTGATGGAGGGAGACTTAAAAGGGAGGGGAAATGTATATAATTTTGACTGATTCACGCTGATACATGGCAGAGACAACCACAACACTGCAGAGCAATTATACTCCAATTAATAAAAATCACCCATGAAAAAAAAATTAACAGGAACCTACTCTATAGTACACGGGACTCTACTCAATACATAAAACTGCAAATGCCTACAACCAAATGCAAGGACACTCACCATTCTATTCAATCCTTAATCAGAAACTTTCCTTTAAAAAGGAAGGTAGACAAAAAGGAATAAATAATACTACTTTTCTCTAGAAATAGAACTATCACAGCCTAAGTAATAAAAGCAATGAAAGGTGAAGCTCCTAAGTTAGAATAAAGATGAGTAAAGTTATGTTTGATCATTTATTTAAAAAGCAGGATTAAAGGTAAAAGAGGACTCAAACACAAGACTGTCTGGTTAAAGTATTTTTTCCTCTAATTCTAGACTAAGTTTTACTAGCGTCTTTCTCAACAAAATGTTTTGTTTCAGCTTCCTAGTCATCCACAAATCATAAATACATTCTATTTCCTCTTTTAAGAAATACCCTTGCTAAATGCTAATGGAATGAAAGGCATAAATGAGGTCAGTTACTGTTCAGTTTTTCAAAAATAAAAGAACTGAATTCGTTTTTGATAAATAGTCCTCCACTTTGGCAGACTTCAGAAATGGGGTCTTAGCAACAAGAATAAATTGAGAGTGGTTGGCAGCCAAAATCTCTCAGGAAAAACAAAAAAAATTCACCTGCCTTGTATTTCCTGAAGTTAGTTACTAAATAGCGCCATGGAAGAAGATGATCATCGAGAAAATATTTCCCCACAAAGAAAGGACAGAAAAGACTTTTTAACTTCTGGCCAAAACTATTCAATTTTGTCCCCCAAATAAAGCCACACAGCCTTCAGAGCTATGAATTAAAACAAAATTTATCACCAAAAGCTTTCATCTGGAGACTTTACTGGATGAATAACCCTTCTTGTAATTTATTTTTGTTTTAGTTTGTGTCAAATTTAGAAGGAAAAAAGGTCTAATTTTTATTTCTCCTTTCAAAATGGAAACCATTATAGCTCCCTCTGCTTCAAAATATTTATGATAATAAAAAGTAACTATAAAATGTTTAGAATTTTAATTTGGAATCAGAAGTTATTAACTCACAAAGACAGGAAATTAAATTTGACATTGCTGTTTTACCCCATTAATCATGCATGTACTTAAAACTCTATGACAATAACATGCATGCAAGCATGCATACTGAGTCACTTCAGTCATGTCCGACTCTTTGTAACCCTGTAGATTGTAACCCACCAGGCTCCTCTGGCCATGGGGTTTCTCCAGGCAAGAATACTGGGTGGGTTGCCATGCCCTCCTCCAGGGGATCTATCTTCCTGACCTAGGGATCAAACCTGCATCTCTTAGGTCTCCTGCATTGGCAGGCGGATTCTTTACCACTAGTGTCACCCAATAACATATAAAAGTCTAAAACTTTGATATCCTAGAATTTGTGTGATTCACATGGTAAGGAAAAAATGGTTTAAGGTTGGTCCTTGTTGATTCAGTTCAGTTCAGTCACTCAGTTGTGTCCGACTCGCTGCAACCTCATGGATTGCAGCACACCAGGCCTCCCTGTCCATCACCAACTCCTGGAGTTTACTCAAACTCATGTCCATTGAGTCGGTGATGCCATCCAACCATCTCATCCTCTGTCGTCCCCTTCTCCTTGTTAACTGAAAGCATAATATTGGTAATTTAACAAAATTCTGCCCACAGAGTTCTAGCAACATGATCAGGGAAACAAATGACTCTTTCTTGGCTGTTAGAACACATATAGATTTGAGCACTGTAATGTCAGATCACAGGTGAAAGTTAACATCTTTAGATTTCTACTAATTTCGATGGCATCCCTGGAGAGTTCAGAAACACTAAGAAAACTAACTAAATAAATAAAACAGAAGAGACTTCCCTGAGGGCTCAGTGATTAAGAATCCTCCTGTCCATAGAGGGGGCACAGGTTCCATTCCCGGTCCAGGAAGATCCCAAATATCATGGAGGAACTAAAGCTGTGTGCCAGACACAACTGAGCCACACACCTAGAACCTGTGCTCCAAAGCAAGAAAAGCCGCCACAGTGCCAAGCCTGCACACCACAACAAAGGGAGCCTCTGCTCAGCAGCTAGAAAAAGCCTGCATGTGGCAATGAAGACCTAACACAGCCAAAGATAAGCACAATAAATAATAAAATCTTTTTTAAGATAAATAAAACATGATGAAGTATTTCCATTTCAAAGATAAAGTTGAGAGGAAGAGATGGAAGAACTAGGAATATAGGAATAAAAGACTACTGGGGAAAAAACAGTCAATACATTTAACTTGTGAATGCCCTAAAATCCAAATCTATGCAATTTTTAAAATATAGTTTTTACACTGTGTAATCATAAAGATGTCAATTAAATATGGCTAAATCATGACTCTAAAGAAGTGTACTTTCTGCTGTGTGGCTATCACACAGAATCCTGGCATCGTTAAATATCAAAGTGCTTAAGAAAATGTATCGACGTGCTGTGGAATAAGCCAATGTTTTCCAAATCTCATACACAAATATTTCCTTC